ACACTTATGTCTTAGTCCTGAGGCAGAAAACATAACCGGACAAAAAAATGAGGACTCCATATGGCAATGGCTTTAACTTTTCATGGTTTAACTTGTTAGCTCGCTTTATGATGGAACACTCGCAAATGATAGCTCTAACTGTAACTTATGGTTGTACATGAAGTGGTATGGCTTGGAAGTGAGAGCTTGCAATTCTTGCATCCTTAAGATATTACTAGGCAACACTACTTTCACTTCTCATTTGTCTATTACAACAAATTTGCTGAAAGAAAAAAGGAAAACACAACCGTAATCCTGACCCAAAAGGGTCAAAATAAAATTAAACAGCCTTACCACAGGTTTTTCTCATCAATTTGGTARCAAGCTGAATAGTTTTTCTTCGCAATCTGTAAATCATCGATCTCAAATACTTGAAGAGCTCAAAAATCCCYACATTTTTTAAAGGAAACAAAATGCTACTGCTGAATAAGAAGACCTCTCGAAGGGAATTGGTTCTTTTAGAAAACCACTGCCACCAAAATAAAAGGTTTGGCTTACACTAATACCACGAACGACCAATTTTTTGAAAAATCCACCAAAATTGCAAGACTTTCTTTGAAAATCAACTGTGGAACTAATGTTTGTCAAGATCAAACCTGTCAAAAGAAACCAAAACATCCAAAAAATTCCCACATGCCCGGCATGATGCTTTAAACACTAGGAACTTTAGACTTCTCATACTTGAAAATATGCCATTCAACTTGTTTATCTCTATAGTATAATAATTGCCAACTAGATCGAGATCAATGAAATTCTGGTACACAAGTTACTCTTTTCAGACCAAGATTATTATTACCGAGGAATATGTTACCAAGAACTTTCCGCCTCCTTACATCAATAGAACAAAAATGTTTTCTGTAAATGGAAATAGGAGCATGCACCAAGGAAATACACAAATGGCCATTTTACTTTGAAGTTTATCACATCTTACTTTGCTTAAACTTGTAAACCAAAATTTGATTGGCGCTTTAGACTCAACTGGTATTGCTTTTGCCTAGWATCTTAGGGAAGTCACCAATGATCGAGGGCTCTGTACACAAGAAAAATACACACACCACTATACCAAAAATTGGAAAATGCATTTAGCTTACCAAGTGCTTCAAAGCTGTGATTGCTTTAGAACTGCCGAGTCAAGACCACATGGCTTTGGAAAACTTTGTCGGCAATATGTTGCATTATATTAAACGATTTCAGTCCTAAACCACTACTACATGAACCACAACTACTTTAGACTTAAATGAGCTTGACATGGCTTACGTGTTGAAGATTTTAAGTCACACTCGGGAATTTCATCATTTGCTACATTGGATCCTGGTAATGGAAGCCAAAACACATTGACGACATCAACTCAAATTAGTGCTTACTTAGAAGTTGTAACTTTTCTGTACTCTTTCCCAGAAGCCAAAACATCCCTGTAGTAAGACTTTGTCAACATTTCAAACCCTTAACTGGACTCTGATTTTCTTGTCAACTCTTTTCACAATCACTAGGCAAGAAAGAATTACCACATACAGACCCAAATGGCCAAAAACATCTTACCACTCTCCTTCTTTTTCTTATTTCTAGATGCAGAGTAAAACTACTATCTTTCCATTCAGTGTCTCGATAGATATCTTAGTTGTGTTGTCGTCTGTTAGGGATGTGTAGTGCTTATCGTGGAGGAAAAGGTCATCCTACAAGTTGGTTGTATTAACTATGCTGGATAGGTGATTTAAGATGGCAATACTATCGTCTTACTATTACTTGTCAGCTTTTTCTTACTAATTGACTGTATCTGTGTCTCGTCCATTATCAGCCGATTTTCTTTTTTGGTGGATACTTGCGCTGCAAGTCAAAGAAACAAAGCACACCAACCCAGCCCCATGACACTTCACAAAAAATAGCTGATAGTCGCCAGTCATTTTAACACTTTATGCACATCTCATTCTCTAAGCTAGGGACAAGGATAAAAGGACCACATTCTATTCTCTTTCTCTCTCCACTTTGAACAAGAATTCCTAAGGTTATTCCATTATGGGCAGAATATTTCTTAGACAACTTATCAAATAGTCGCAGATCTTGAACAGCTCTAGCATCTTTCGCATGAAAGTCCTTCAAGAAATGGCAAAGACAAAACGCATACACCACATGCTTAAGGTTCTTCCTCCTTTAATCTATCTTGCATCCATTCCTGCCAAACCTCTCCCACACACTCGCTCTTCAATGCAGGCTTAAGCTAGCCGAAACGACCAACACCTCATAAACTATATTGTTTGATTATTTGCTGTCCACAAACGAGATGGTACTTAATCAAATAGGTTTTACCAGTGATGTTTAGATTGATTTCATGGCCTGAAGAATGAAATTCTTATGAACTTGAATGCTCATCCTGAAAGATGAAAAAAAGATGCAACCCCAATCGAACCCCCTATTTGTCACTTAAATGCCATAGTCTACATTTCACTGTTTACTAATGTTCATGATGTCTTTATAGAAAGTCTGAAGCAACTAAACCTTCAATATCTTCACCAAGATTTCCAGGCTATTTCCATTAGATGGCATATACATTTTGAGCTGAAACTCTAAGGAGAATATGCACATATTCTACAAATATTGCAGTGTATGAGGGATAAAATGTAACCTTTTGCAGGCTTGCCTCAGAAGGTACTTCAATATGAAGGAATGTCTTCCTTGTAGTACTTGACTTATCTTGAAAGAAAAAGACAGACAAAACAACCCACCCACCCAGTATAATCGAATGCATTTACAAAAATAAATTTCCAGCTTGCCTGTTTCTTGAACACTTGGCCATAATGATCCAATGGATGGAACTAAAAACTAAGCGTAGCACTTGTTTGGAATACATGGCTTAACCTTACTCTATTCTCCACAACATATAAGCAAATGCAGCCTGAACAAAAATTCCAAGAAATATCTGTGGGTTGAGTGCTCTAACTGATGTACTACATATTCTACTCTACAAATAGATTCCTGTGTTAACAACTTCTTGCATCTCTTCAAGCCATCACGCTCTTTTTGGATCAATTAATCTGTTGTCTTTGGATCACTGTAGTATCAAGAGAATCAACTTTTAATTGTCAAATACATTCTTTGATACTGATAAAATGTTTAGGAAGCACTTTCACTGCATTATGATTGAAACTTACACTGCAACAGAGAATCAATGACGTGACGAAGCTCTGGACTCATGTCACTTCAAAGATCCTTTCACTCAAGCTCACTCTGAGGAAGAAAGGCACAAAACTTCAACGCTATATTACATGTACTTAACACTCTCGTTTTGATATCAATGTAAAAATTCTCTACTTTCTACAAATATTTSTTTCATGTATTTACAAAAGTTTCACTATATAAAATTAAAATTCTAAAACCCTTCAGAAAGATTTATTTTTCCTCGACTTGAGATTTCGTAATATCCATTTCTGATACTTCAGTAGATAAAACTGAGTCTGTATCTGATGAAACATTTCGACCTTGAGGTTTCCATCTACTTAGTTTCCTGAAAAATTCATCAATACCTAGTAGATCGTCGTCATCTTTTCGAGAACTCTTCATGTTCCAGCCGACGCCATTGGATCCATCGTGCCATTCGTATGCTTCGCTTTTTCGGCGTCGCTTGGCTTTTCTATTGCATCGTTCAGTGATTTCATCGTTTAGTCTCTGAAGAGAAAATTCAAGTACAGCAGCTCTGTAAAAATCCATGTGTTTMCTTCTTTTAACAGTTTTCTTTTTCTCTAGCGAGGACGAAAGAATTGACCAGAGTTCTTTGTCGGATTCCGAATAACGCTTGGTACGCTGATATCGCTTCACTCCTCCACCGCACATATTCTTCACAATTAATCTATTAAACGTCTCTAGAAACTAAGCTAAAATTGCTAAAACAGCAACTTTACACTTCTAGATTTGCTTACTTCGTGGTTTTGCTGTTGACGTTTACTTTTCTTGCTTGGTCAAAGTCGAGGGGCTTGAATCCTTTAAAAGTAAGAATGGACTTGAAAAATATTCGCTTTCAACCGATAAAACAATGTCACATAATTTTCAAGTTGAATTAATATGAATGCTTTTGCCGTTTCTGCCTTGTCTTTTGAAACAAATATGGCGTTGATTCTTCGTTGCCTTCAAGTTAGAATGAAAATCTTTCAAATGTCGTTAATTTTCTTTTTTTGTAAAAATCTTATGTCTTGAGCAATTCTAAACTTCTTTTAAGTCATAGGATTCAAAATGGGTTAAAATTTTTACCAATTTTCTGGACAACACGCTCTAACTTCCACCTTCGCATCGATGCCCCAGCGCACTGACAATCGCTTCTTGAAACGCAACAAACATTTGTTTRCCACACCAGTAAAACCAGTCAAAACCGGTTTTACTTCTTCTTTTAACCAATGAAATTGAAGTAATTAGAGACGGATGAAATATTTGACCAATCAGCGATAGGGCTATTACGTCATAATAGTGACGTTGTTGTGACGCTAAACGAGAAAGGATTCTTTGCACGTTCAATAACYTAAAAATAGAACACGCTCAATCGATCGAGAAAATCCCAAGATGTCAAAGATCGGCATGGCATATGCACGCACATAAATTTTTTACAAACATACTCATGCCTTACATTTGCTCTTACTACTTTTCTAAGAAAAGACACAGAGACCTTGATGGATATATTTCCAAAAATSTCACTTAATCCACGAAACAAATATTACTATTAAATTAGGTACTAGAGTGCTCGCACTAAATGCGTGAAATATAAATACTACAAAATAGGTGATAAATTATACAAATTCCTTTGTTTCCTATTGTATGATCAACACTATTTAGTAGTAATTAGTACTATTTGTTTCACGCTTTAAGTGCGAGCACTCTACTAAAGTATTTTGATTAAACAGTAGAAAACAAAGGAATAATAAATTTTTGCTATCATTACACACAAAAACAGGAAGTGAATAAAAATTCAAAATAACACATATTTCATGAAACAGTTTATTTCACAAACTGAAGCTGCACATGTGATGGGCAAGCTTTCATAGATTTCACTTTTAAAATTAAGTTACTATTATAGCTTACCGAGATAACAAAAACAAATGTACTAGAATTTAGACTAATACATTACTGAAGGAGTCACTGTACCTCCTTATCAGTGTGTGCATTATGACTTGACTATTACATTTTATTCTTTACTCTAATCACTAATCTTCAAGTCAATTTGATGAGTAAAACCTAATCTCTACATGCAAAAACTGACCTGAAAACTTTCTGTGTATAAGCAGTTTAATTAAAATTGCTAATTGAACAATAACAATATATCAGTTATCTTTTGTTATTAAACTATGTGTTTCTCCCACAATACTCTGTGTAATATTACTATTATTCTTTTGAAAATAAAATTTTAGTGGCACTTCCCACAATGTTAGATGGATGACACTTTATTTTCGGCTGCAGCTTTACCCTGTAAGCAAATCAAAAGGCTTTTATCCAATAAGTAAGTGCAAAATCTACCACAACGGGCAGCCTAATTCTCAATAATAAATTATTACATGCAAAGACATGGGTATGGTTTTATTTAAAGAATATAACAGAGAACAATAAGTGCACATGATTTTAGAGTGGTTTTCCTTTAAAAGAAAAACACCATCTAATTTTTTCTAGTCAAATTGAAGAGAACACAAAAGGTTTGATGACTACTAACAACTATTAGTTTGGTTTCCAACTTAAAGGAAAATCTCTCTAATACAGTGTTACAAATGCAACATATTCATCTCTAAAGCATAAAACAATGCATTGAAAGCTTTTTATTTGTTAATGGTAAACAAAAATATGAGATGCTGTGCAAAATAAAGAGTGGTTAACCTACTTACAGCTGCAGTGTGTGTTAATGCTTGACAGGGCTAGTAGCAGTCTGGTAATAAAAGCATGTATGAATTGAGCACATCAAATTTGCCATCACTCAAATTATTCTATACGTGATAGCAGCTTTGAAGCAAGCTTTTTTAAGAAAATTATGAACAGTAAAATTAAATATATGTGAATTAACTTAGAAATAATCAAATGTATTCAGCTGTTAAAAAAAATCAGTTTAAAAAAATTATATTGAACAAAATTGCCTTTGTAACACACATGTCAAGAATTAAGGCATTGCAATTTAATAAAGTTTTTGGCTTACTGAAAAGTAGTTTTGCCTCTTACTTACATCGGCCATTGCTTCTGCAACATCTTTTTCAATTTGTTGTGACCTAGTCATCTCCTATTTGAATCAAGTCTAGTCAATTCAAAAGTGCTTTGGACATTGAGATTCAAAAAATCACTTACAGATTCTTTAGCCTTCTTTAGTTCTGCTTTTAATTCTTCAATTTCTGTCTTGTAGGCTTGGATTAGTTTAGCCTGACAATATGGGATAAGCTTATGTAAGTTATGTTTACACAAGAAGAATTTAGAATTTATGTGCTTCTGCCAGAGCTTTCCTATGATCTACATGTATTATTGGAACATTTCTTATAATGATTCCTTGATTTCAAGGCAAAGATTRTTTTATGGAAACCATAGTACCATGTCAGAAACTGATTACTATACTTAGTTTTTGCATCAAATACCTCTTCCTTGTCTGCAATTTTACTTTCTTTATCTTTCTACAGAATCAAAAGACAAAACAAAAAGACTTGTGATCAATGAATAGAAGCTTTGCAAAGCTGATATTATCTTTCTCTAAGGTAGGAATTATGATGATGCTGGCATTGCAGGAAGAACAAAATAAAAGTAGTGCAAATCAAACAGCAGCAACTATTAACAATCAATCATTATTTTCTGGTACAGGGTTTGTTTACTAGGCATTAATTTTAATCCTTACTTTCATAATTCATAATGCTATTTACACGAACATCAATATTTATTTATTAACTGTATAATGTAATTCCAATACCAGAACTCTTGTTATTGGAATCTTATGTAAGTATCATTGAAAAATGTTCATTCCAAACTAAATTGCTTTCCATCCAAGGTTGCAATAAGATGACTAGCAATGCATTTTGGTAGTGGAATTAACTATACAGCAATACAGAATACAGTACTCAAAGTCTCTTGAAATTGTATGTAGAATTGATGATTCTATTGATTATAGTTTGAATCAAAATATATATGATCAGTTTCTGCACACACACACATCCTCTCTTTTGGCTGAAGAGTTAAAATCCAGATTGTTTGTCTCCTATAGCAGGAGCCTACATAATGTTTAGCATATTACATGTAGTAGATTTGACCAGGGTTTGAAATTAGACATTAGTAATTTTCACACACACACACACTCATTACACAAAAGAAGATCCTGCAATCTATGGAGTTTAATGTTAATGAGTCAAAATATTGGTAATTCTGGACACATGGTTAAAAGAAACTCGTACAAACCTTTGAACCATGTGTAAGTTTGCTAAATGCCCCCTTGATGCCTTTCTTTTTCTTCTCAGGGCTGTCACTGTTTATTGATTCCTGGTTTGGTTTTAATTCAAATTGGCATAAATTAATTCAAATGTTAGGTTTGGATAATATTAAGAACATTATTAATATTTTTTGATTTTATTTTCAGCATGTGCTATGGTCAAATTACATAGGGATTTACATTCTGGCCAAAGTGTACAAAGACTGTAAATGAACAACCCCTACTTATAAATATACACCTCAGTCTATATCATGACACAAAAACAAATATCAAAATGGACTAATAGTAGTTTAGTGTTTGTATACTATAATGTCAATGTTAAAGTCTATTTAATATTGTCATTAGTAACTTTATCTAGTAAGAGTGGGATTACATTTCAATCCATTTTTAAACATGCTGCCGGGACAAAGTGTTAATCAAACGTGCTAAAAACTAGAGTTGATCAGTCGCATTTAAAGATGTTTATAGAACCCTTCACCAGAAAATAAATTTCTTTTACACCCAATACAGCATTAGCTATCAAGCAGTTGTGGTGAAATGATAAAAATCATATTATTAGGAAACATTATCATGATTATAATAATTGGATGCTTGCTTCATGGGTTACGCATGATTTGAACACATTACATGTTCAATGTAGTATGGAATAAAGCAATGACAATCCAGTATTTGACTATAAAGCAAAACATATCTTCTTAATTCAAAATAAAAATCTTGTTAATTCATGCTTGAGCAATGTGCATAGCAAAATGGAGGCGAGAGCAGCAATAAAAGCTTTTAACAAATTATAATGATGCACAATAATCCAAGATAACAATCCATGATAATATGGTAAAAAATGTGTAAAATACCTGAAACTGAAACATAAGAAAGAGTGAGAATACTGTTATACCTGTGATTTCCCAATGTCATTGTTAGCTTTTGCCAAAGCCTCTTCTAATGACACAATTGTTTTCTTGAAATTTTCACCTGTTTCCTGGTTTCTTTTCATCTCTTCTCGTAGGGATTTCACCTCACTATCTCGTGTTGTTAGTTGACCTTGTACTTCACTTAATTGTACCACAGTCCTTGATAATTCTTCTTGCACAGATTCATATTTTTTGTTGGATTCACACATCTTCTTTTCATTTTCTTTTGACTGCAAAAGTTCTTTTTCTAACTTAGTGATTTTTTCTAAATKACTAGAATTTGAGAGCTCTTTCTCAAGTGATGAAACTTTTGCTGTAGCAGCTGATTCTTTTTCTTTAGCCAGTGCAAGTTCTTTTTCCAATAAAGTGATTTTTTCTAGATGTGGTGCTGATGATGATTTAGCTAGTTTGAGATCATTCTCTAATTGACTTATCCTTGATTTTGCCTGGAAAAAATTAGAAAATACAATCAAACTAAATCATGCATCATGAGACTCAGATGTATTAAATATTTTAATCAAACAAGTTTCAGAAACATTGTTTTTAATAGATAATTAAACATTMATACAAAATACAATTACTTACCGACTGGGCCTCATGTTCTGCTACTTCTAGTTTCTTTTCCCAACTACTGATTTCTGACTCAATGTGATTTTCTAGCTTTTTGAGCATAGCTTCCTACAAATGAATTAACAGTTACCACTATAAGTACATTTTTACTGGTGAAAATAAAAMCTTTACAGAAGTGCAAGTCGTACTGTGTCCTCTAGACCATTCTTGTAATGACTACATTCTGCTTTCAACTGCTCCATCTCCCTTYTGGACTCCTCAAGCTCATTGAACGCATCTCCATTCTAGGAATCAGTGAAAGTAGCAATCAATACTAATACTAATACTTTCACTGGTCTTTGATATGTCTTAAGCAATTCAGCAGCACAATGTCTCACTTTACCTCAACAATCTTTGGTTTCATAACATTAGCTTGTCTCTGGAATTCAGCCAACCATTTTTCAAACGGCTGAAAATAGAGATATTTAAGTACCATAAACCATTAAGAAGTAGAGCATTATGTATCACTTTAATAATGACACTTACTAGTGAAGACTCCACTTTCACATCTGGATGGAGAGATGTCAGAAGATTCTGAAAAACACCATTTTAATTCAAATTAATCAATATAACATCATATTGTTTTGTAAGGTCAAAGCATGGATTGTACAAATGAGATCGATGCTTCTCATTTTACCAACCTTGGCTGCTATTCTTTCATTATCCATATCTTTCATTGATGATTTCTGATGTTTTGATAATATTTTTTAAAATAAATGAATTATAATGAGAAAATCTTATAAATACAAAAAGCTTGACTATTAACCTTAACGCTTTCTACTGCTTCTTTGACCTGACAGCTGACTGATTTCTCTGCTGCTGCAACAGCATCCATAGCTTTCCAATTCTTTTCCCTTAAATCCTGAACATATAAAAATTCATTATTATTTTTCGGGTTAATGTTAAAAGATCAGTAATCTAGTAAAAAAAACAGACTGCACTAATTACATTAAAACATTACAGGAATGAAGTAAAAACTGTCTAAAATATTGCCTTTGAATCTCTATAGAGACCAGAGATATTYTGGCAGAGTGTGGACCATAATAGTGGAATACAAACACTGCTCTACATGTGTTTTTGAAACTACTGATAAATGATATCTTGATTCTCACATTATTTTTCTTTTTCTGCTGTTCAATTGTCTCTTCCATTTTTTTCATGTCAGCCTTTGCTTCAGCAAGATCTTCTTTGATTTTGGACAGTTCTTGTTGAGTTTCATTAGAGGTTGACCTTCAAAGTATAAAGTAGCTATTCTAATCAAACAAGACCAAAACAATGGCTAGCCAGTGACCATACGAATTGTCTTAACAAAGCAACAAATAATAGTGTCAACATCTATCATAAAACATCTAAACCATACACCATAAAAAAGAGAGAAACATTTTGACACTGTTGTAACTAATTTTCATTTTCAGCTACTGAATTTGAGCTTGGATTTCTATGTTTCAATGATTTGAACTAAGATTTCTACTTACATTACATGTRCTGCCTCTTGTTTGGCTTCAGCCTATATGAATAAAGATAAAACATATTGCTTGAGATCATAATACAGGCTAGTTCTGATGAACTCTAATCGACAATTTTCTAGAAGCCCTATTTTCACGTTTGGCTATCTCACTGCAACAGAAATAATCAAAGGTTTTATGTGGTTAAACATTCAAAGTAAAGACATTGACAGCATCTTTTTCTATAGAATACAAAATATATAGTGAAATGAACTCATTGAAGTAATGCTAAAATGACTGTAATAGGCATGATTTGGATGTGTGAATAATGAGGTGCCTTTAATATTAACTTTACTTAAGGTGAAGAGAAAAGAAACATGAAAGAGGTTTAGAGCAACAAGAAATAGTGTTTAATGAGAAGCCATTCATGCATTATCTTAACAGAACTAAAGCTTCAAACAAAAAAGGACCGACCAGCCAACAACTAAACAAAAAAAATTGAAGATTGGTAACAAAACCTACTGCACAAGCATGAAAAAAAAGGAAAATCCAAATGAAATGAAAAACCAAAATTTAGCTTGGTAAAGCTCATGGTCATGCAAAGAATTTCAATGTGCTTTTTTTCATTARCTAAATAATTTAGATTTACTGTGCAATCCATGAATATTTTTGTGAAAAAAGCCAAACTACCTTGGCTTGTCGCACAGCATTATCTATTTCAGACTTTATTGATTGCTCAGTTGCTGACAAGGCTTCCATGGCCTTCCAGTTCTTTGTTCTCAGGTCCTGAGAATACATGAATGTACAACAATAATAAAAATAGACAATAGGAGAGATTGATTTGTCTGTTGGTGTTGTATTTTGTGTGAAGACTGCTTACATTGCACGGTTTACACTAAGTAGAGTATATTTGATGTAAGTTTGAAAAAAGACACAATGACAGCACAATTACAGGAGAAGAAAGCAGCACTCCTGACACAGTCACAACACAAACATTTGCACACTCGTAAAAAAACTCCTCTAAGAGATATCAAGTTGTTCATTAATGAAATGAATCTTTATATCTTACATTGTTCTTTTTCTTTTCTTGTTCAACAGCATTTTTTAAGTTTGCTATTTCCTCAGTTTGTTTGTTCATCTCTTCAGTTAGTTTTGAAATTGTGGCATCCTTTTCTTTAAGTCTTAAAAAAAGAACAATTTAACAGTTGTTTTGAACAATGCTAAAATCAATATAAAGTAAATGTCTAAAAATAATTATGAAGACTTACAGTTTAGGATCAGATGGCATGTCATTTCCMTCCTGCCAAGAAAAGATGATAAAAAATAAATAAAATAAAAATAAATCCATGAATGAATGATGAATACTAGAAAAGCTGTTAACCACAAAATTATTACCTTTGCTTGGTATAGCTTTTCTTTCAGATCCTAAAGAAAGGAAAACATACTTTATACATGTACTTGAACACTAAAACAAAATTGGATTATTCTCTGTTTACACCTTGAATTCACTRTTATCAATATAAAGAAAATTAGATAGACATTATGATGATATAATCATCATATTCATTTAATCGTATTCTATTTCATTTGATTCATTTATTTCCTACTATTACCTTTATTGCTTTATCCTTAGAGACCTGTTTTTCCTYCGACTCCCTTAACTGGGTTTCTACTGATGTGAACATTTTTTCTAGTTCAGCAACCCTGGTGGTTGCTTCAGTCAGCTTACTAGTGAGCGTATTCATGGAGTCTGTCTCATTAGATTTGCTATTTTCTGCTTTACTCAGCTGCTCTGCCAGGCTTTTGCATTTTTGCTCTTCTTCTTCCATAGCTTTCTTGAGTTTGGATTCTCTTGCTTCGGCTTTCTYTAATTCTTCATTAACTTCACTAAGACGCTTGTTCAGGACTTTTTCTGCCTCTTGCTGGAATAAAAATGAAGCAAATGAAGTGAGCCAAATAGAATTACAATGATAAACAAAATAGTTTAAACAATGTGCATTCAAAAGATAGTTTGATTACAGAATTAAACGTAGTTTATGATATGGTAAATTTCACCTTGGAGTTCTGTTGCATTTTGGAATCATGGATTTGTTTTTCAAGAACTTGRCGATGACTGTCCACTTGCTGAAACTGTTCAATCCTTGCAGCAAGGTCAGCCTTTAACTGACGATGACTTTGCTGTAGTTTATGCAGCTCAGCAGTAAGGGATTCTTTGTCTGCAGTCCTGCAATAACAATGTATTCAACCCTGTATACAATATACATAATATATAACAAAATGTTTTTTTAGATATATGACTGAAAATGACAGTTTCAACTTACAGCTGGGAGGCCCTCATTGAAGCATTCTTTAATTGTGCATTTTCCTTAAAAAAAAACACAATATTTTCAAGACCGCTGCAATAGTAATTGGGAGCAGACTATATTTTGATTAAAAACAAACCAATAATTGCAATTCATATTCATTTAGTCAGTCTTGGAAAATGATTGGGCAGGTTTGAGTACTGGTAGTCAAAACACAAAATGTTTGCCTGAGCCACAAGAACTTCTACTCTTCTACATTTCGTGAAATCTGTACATAGCAAATACCCAAATAATTCCTTTTTTTCTACTAACAATTAGCCTTTTTTGKTGAATTATAACAAACCTCTTGAAGTCTTTGCACAGAGGACATTGAYGAAGAATTCACCATTTCTTGAAACCTTCTCAATTGGTTTTGCAATGTCTGAACTTCTTGAGCATGACTATCATGTGTAGCCTTCATTCTTGCCTGCATTGCTTGCAGTTCCTTGGTCTATAACAAACATGTCTGATCAGTAACCAATGATAAAAACTTTGAAAACCAATACTACAAATACCTGGGATGTTATTTTATTACTTGCAGCTGTGTATTGTGCTTTTTGCTTAATACGCTCTTGTTGAATTTCATCTCTGCAAAGATTTGTTATCAGTAAGACATAATTGATCTATGAAAATATTCTTAGGAAAGTTGAACATGTCCTATGTTCTGCCAATGCATTTATTATTCATATTTTACCTTAGTTCTTTCAGCTTATTAGCAGCACTCAAAGATTGTTTTTTCTCTGAAAGACAAAGGAATAATTTTTACAATTATTGTTCAGGCAACAGTAAATTAGCAAAATGCACATACCATCCAATACCAATTGCTCCTTCTCTTGCAATTGCCTTTTCAGCATTTCTGTATCATCACCCTTAGTGGTGGACTGAAAAAATTATTGGTATCATCAGATTAAAGGCAWTTTTTGACAAGAGATTTTATAGATGTACTCATCACTTCTTGACGGATAGTGTTATACCTTCCATTGTGCATTGTCGCCCTGTTTGTTGAGAAGAACRTCAATCAAGTCTTGAAGTTCTGTTGCATTKAGGTTAGCMGTCTTAAGAGAGTTTAAYAAACTCTTGCTACTTATTTCACCTGAAACCAAAAGAAAATTCAGATAATTACCAAATACTACTTTATTCACYCTCTAAAGCTCTTTATTAAAATATTGTGTAAATCACAATGTTTGGTGCAGACAAATTCTTACCAATATGAAAGTTAAACTTTTTTAAAGTAATGTATGTATACGCCACTTGTTGCCATGAAAAATGTAATTAACCGAAAATATTTTCAAATATTTCACAGAGAYGTCAAAATGTTAACATAATAAATCAGAGAGTTGGGAGCATACTTTGGTTATATTTTGAAAAATAAAAGATATATCTAGCTTTTACAAAATAATATATTACAAATATAATATGTATATGAAATAAGCCTCCTTTGCAGCTTCTTCTTTTGTTGGACTTTCTGTCCATTGAAAAAGGGCTAGGTAAAACTAACGAAAAAAGATACACTAGTAATAATAATACGTAGTGCTAACAATAAAGATCTCCATGACCATGCAGAAAAGTTATAAATATAAAATGTGTGGTCCTGTATTCCAAGACAATAAGTTTTATTTACTGTAAACAAAGGCTAAAAACCAAAGGTTGTTCAATTGGAAAAATGAAGTGAAAGAAGAAAAATACCACAAATTAAATAATAGAAATCCAAAACAATAATGGATAACGTTGTTCTTTCCTTATCTTTTCAATAATAATTGTACGCCTGGCCTGTTTGTTGTAATAAATTGAATACATTTCAATTTTCCCATTATTACTTAAAGATTTTAATTTTCTGAACAAARAAGTTAAAATTCGCCAGTTAAAAAAATATGAATTAATAGGTCGGTTGTAAATATGTGAGCATTCTATCCTAGATATTTATCCTTTGATATATTGCAGTGATCGATTTCACTGCCACGTTGTCATCAAACAATATTTTAGGATTACTTTACAGTGCTAAAACAGTATGGTATTGTTACATGTTTTGAAATTCAAATCGAATGGGGAAAATCCTATAGAAATCTTGTAAAAATGGCTTTACATTTTTGTTCGGAAATTTCCCATACTTTTGCAAGTAAAAAAATCAAAACACCGACCAAAAATCTTAAAAAGTCGCCATGGCACACATTATTTGCTATTTTTGATTTTTACTCAAGGCACAAGTACCTGTAACTGATTGTGACTTTTCTTTCAGTGTCTTCGCCTTAGTTTTTGTTTTCTTAGTGGCTTGGGGTTCAGCATTCACAGTAGTTTGGACCTCAGCTTGTATTTCTTCCATAACGACTGGTTTGGGTTCRTACTCCGGTGGTTCAGATGTCGGTAAAGCGGATTCAAGCGGAGAAGATTCTTGCACAGAAACAGCTTCCTCTACAACCACTTTAGGTTCATCTTCAAARTGTGTGTGCCTCTCGTTTGCTGCTTGTGTTTCAGTCTTTACTGAAGCCTGCTTTTTTGATTTGTTTTTCTTTTCTTTTAAAATAGACTTAGGTTTTTCACTGGACTCATGCTCCTTCGTAGTATCTGCCGGTAAATCTTGCGAAACGGCACCTTCCTGCTGGTCAGCCTCATGACCGGCGATAACTCCTTCKCCTTCATTCTCTGAATGCTTCTTCTTTCGTCGACCAGGCTTAGCTTTGCTCTTACTTGCTTTTGTAGAAGTTGGACGAGTAAAGATAGCMGCATCTTGTTCAGCTTGTTGAGCGACATGGTCCTCAAACTTTTCCTCGCGAAACAGGAAAAACCCAACTAAAACGATGGAAATACAAACTGTAAAAAACACAGTCACTCCAGCTAACAATAACGGATCCATGGCTCCAAACGTCAAAGGTGGCCAACAAAACACCCCAGAAAAGAGAAATCAACTATATACTAGTATATTTGTAAGACGAAAGATTCGAAGTGTTCTTCATTCAACACAACGGAGCATGTCCTGGGTTCTGATTGGCACGTGGATGGTGTATTGTCCAATCACATTCCAGCACGATATGAAGGAAGCCATGATCGTTTAACGCCGCTAAAATTAAAGTCCTCGTTTGAAGACGGCTGATTCTATAATATAGCATTTTTCTCACAGTGAAATTGCTTGGTTACCAATACAATTTAATGGAAATTGTCACCAAGTGCAGATTTATTTATTTAAGAAATTTACATATCACATGAAAAATTATTAACGATATAAGTGTTATTATTTGAAAAAAAATTCAAAGCAGAATCGTTTGATTTTCTTCACACCCCGAATGCATAATGCTTCAAAATAATGTCTCAATTAAAATGTATCTAAATTGACAGATATTTAACCTGCATGGTGTTTGTACATTTTTCATTCTCTAGTTATTTGGCAGGTGTTAGATCTTTACGTGGCCATTTTATTACGAAATTGTAAGTTTTTACAAATAACGAGCTTCAATATTGATGATGACGACGAAATTCGTCGAGAAAAATGAGAGAGGGGAGAGGAGTGAACAGGGACGTTTTTTTAGATTATTCATTTCTATATTTTTCCAGAACTGTCTCAAACGTCGAATCGACTGCAGAGTGAAGCAAAAATCTACATTGACTTCCGGCACATGCTAGGCTTGGAGTCACTGAACTGAACAATCGATCGATTTATTTTATGCATTGAAGGTTGTCTAGAAAACCGCAATATTAGTTTCGAAATAAAAAACACTTGAGTTGTTGTTTGGAGTACACTAAAAAAAGCCGCATTTGTTTTTACCCTTTTATTTGTCACACTATGCTCTCCATCATTAGGGAGGGTAAAAGGTCTTTTGGAATAAGTCCAAAGAAAAAAAAGAGCCTTTAAATAGCCAAGGCACAAATACGATTCTGTTTTTCAGTGATCCATCTTCTTAGTGTCAATTTATTTGTACAAATACACCAAACATTTCGTCTTTTTGTTCTGGCATGTCTTTTGGCGGGAAAAGAGGATCAATTGCAGCGGTAACAATTTGACGAGATATTGATGGAAGAAGATCACTATGGAAACAAAGCAAACCATTAGACTCGCCCATTTTACCTCACTTTAAACCCTGGCGGGATATCCGGAACATCGCAGACGACTTTTAAAATATCTCTTTCCGGTACAATCCCATGTTGCTCTAAGGATCGATTTAAGGAGAATAAAACTTCCAGTAGTGGTGCATTCGTAATATATTTCGTACGTTCATTGACGGATGTAGAAAAGGTTTACCTTGCTGATGCTGGTGCTCCATTTACCTCTAGCAGCCATACTTTGTACTTTTGATCAATCATGAAATCAAAGCCAAAAAGCTGGAAGCTGTGATATGAGAGCCCAGTCGTGCTGATTCCCTATTGACAGACATAATCAGTATGGATGTACTCCAACGAACGTGCGAAACGTCAGTAAGGGACGGTCCATTTGATTTTTGTAAGGGGGGGGGGGGGGGGGGGTTGAATTCTCCTAAAAAACATCGAGCAAGCTCTTCAAAAAAAATATAATGCAACACCAATATGGCGAAAAAAAATATCGAGCATGGGTAGTGTCGACTTTTTTTAGAAACAAATGAAATATTCAGCTCTTCCACCCCCTCCAAATGGTCCGTCCTTTATATAGCGTATACGCATAAATGACAAATTGCACTGTAGAAAAATATCGTGCAAGAGGTTGGTACAACAAAAAAATATCCTGCAGTACTGGAGGACGAAGAAAAAAATTTCAAGCACGATTAAAATCTATCCATCTTCCTTACAAAAATCAAATGGTCCATCCCTAAGTTACCTCTCCTTTTTACAGTGTTTAATTTATTATATAATTTCAGAACTGTTTCCTTAAAAACACCGATGCAGCTCAAACTAGTTAAACCGCTAATTCCTTTCAGTATACAAAAGGGTTTTTTTGTGGAGGTAGCAACATTTAATCAAGGTGTAAAAAAACTTTCTGGAATGGAGGAAAAAGGAAAACATAAAAAAAGATGTAAACAAATATATTGACGTCAAGGTTGATTTAACCATGTGATTTTTCTACCCAGCATTACCTCTTCGATGCCCATTAGGCACTCTTTGATTATAGCATGGATCTGAGGTGCAATGACCTGCTTAAAGTCAATGCCATCTCGTCCTAGTAAAAATCTGATCAGTTGTACAAAAAGTTAGTTATCTTGGATGTGCTTAGGTCATTATTCAAACCAAATTAAAGCTATTAGCTTACCTTTCAAATTCACTAAAAAACATTTCATTTCCCCTTTCATATTGACCAAAATTCTGTGAATGGGCTTCCTGTGGTCATAGAGGTGTTGTTACTACCATGGGAACAGCTACCATAAACAAATACATTGGAATGGCTTACTTGTATGCAGTGATTGGTTAAATGGCTTGTCATATTTGACAGACTGTCTAAGTCATAAGGTTCTGATGATGTCCTAAGAACACCTTCACTGAATACATGGATCTTGAACAAGTGATCAAGTAGCACCCATACTCTAAAATGGTAGATAGAAGTTGATAAATCAACTAATCTGTATTTCAAAGGGCTTCAAAAAGAGGATTTTAAAAGCATGTCTCATGGAATAAAAATTTCCAACTTGCAAAAAAGAGAAGAAACACTATGAAATATAACAGGTCCAATAGTAAGACAAATAAATCAAATGAGGTTGTTAATTCATAGTAACCTAATATCAAACTTTCTTTGTCCATCCAATAATAACGGGTCTTCAATATACTTTTGGACAACATAAGCTTGATGTTGTTTATCAATTGATTCCAGTATTTCTTTAGGATCAGAAGATATGAAAATGCTTTCTCCTGTAAAGTGAACATAATAGAAATTCAATTAAAGAATAAAACTTGGAATTTTCAAAAGAACTCCCAACAATTCGTCCAAAAGGTATGTAAGATATAGTCAAAGTAATCCCTTTGCATACAAATTGTACTGGCCAAACCATTACCTTTAGCACCAGCATTTGATTTTCCAATCCAAATATTTCTATTGCCACAGCTTGCATTGTAAACTTCTAAAAACTGCTCCCTTTCATCTCTAGCATTTGCAGTGGCATTGTATTTCTTGGCCTGTGCTTGGCTCTGTTCGGTTATGGATGTTGGAACAATTACAAATGAAAGCGGCATCCACCGATAAGGACATAATCCACTGGCATCACTTATTGACCTGACAGTGCTTTAAAAGAAAAGAAATAGTAAATTGTTTGTCTCTATCAAGAAAGTTAATCTTGCTTGATATTTACCGCACAAGGGAGACCTTCCGACACAAGAGTTTAGATGATCCCCTGTAATAATTAATTGCTTGGGAGGCACCTTTAACAAAATCATTTCATAATTATATTAGTCTCAGTGTTGWATCAACAATTCTTCAATTTGAAAGTGGTGTTTACATGAAGAGTTGTTTAGACTTTTTAATCAGTTGAGGATAATAGTTCAATCACTTCACATTGATTCTTTTGCATATAAAAAATAGACAATATTGCGATTGCCAAATCCTAGATATCCTGTCCATGAGGAAATATAAGCTTGGTGTTTATCTTTTGTTTTGTTTCTAGACTCATGATTGACAGCTGATGTACAACAATAAGTTTTGTTACGTTGCCATAGTTACCATATTCATATAATATAAACTATCAAATTATTAAGGAAGTTAAGTGGCATCATATTTACCAAGCCTTGCATAAGCAGGTCGGTTCCTCTCAGCAAGAATTAGATTAAAGCGCTCACTGTTGCGATTGATGCGAGTCCATTCAGGCCGACTTAGCAAGATCTCAGAAACAGCTGAATATACGGAGCTGCCCTCATCTCTGTTTACAAACTTGTACATTTTTAGTATATAAGTACATATGCATCTAAAAGTACTTCTTTACGAAAACTAATGTGGTTTAAACCGAAAAAAAATCAAGACACATCCTGAGAATTAGTTGTTTTTGTTTTGCGCGCCATTTGTGTAGACAAGCGTTTTCCTAATTGGTCAGATTTTTGGACCAATCTGTGATCCCCTTATATCTAAATATTGCGTCATCCAAAATGGCGGACGATTCTGATCGAAGTTTTTTGGAAGACCTGGACAATGAAAGGCTACTAAAAGTGGGAAATTGCGAATACAAACGCTCTCTTTACTTACTATCTACTTTGGATAAGCTCAGAAAGGAAGGAGAAAGTGGATTCTGTGACGTTATTCTAGAGATAGAAGGCAGGCATTTCACAGCTCACAAGTGTGTCCTAGCTGCTAACAGTCGCTTCTTTTACACCATGTTCAACAGTGGCATGAGAGAATCAGCTGAGAAAATACTCAAACTACCAACTGTATCTTTTTTAGCCATGGAAAGTATATTAGACTTCTTTTACACTCAGGAAATCAGTCTGACGCAAGATATAGTGGAGGATGTTTTAGAAGCTTCAAGCTTTCTTCTTCTGGAGTCCTTGAAGAAGACTTGTGTTGACATTCTTGAATCTAATATTTCAATTCACAACTGCTTTATTACCAAATGCTTGGCTTTAAAGTACAATGCTGATGAACTACTTAAAAAAGTAGTCCAGTTTATTAAAGACAATTTTCTCAATATTGTACAGAAAARTGAAGAGTTTTTGAAGATATCTAGTGAGGAATTATTGGAAATATTGGATTGTATTGACATCCGTGTCAAAGAAGAAACTCAGGTTTTTCTTGCAATTCTGAAATGGGTAAAACACAAACCAGCAGAAAGAGCAACAGAGCTTTCATCATTACTGAAGACAGTGAAATCACCGTGTCTACCAAAGGACTTTTTTCTGAAGCAAGTTGAAAGAGAACCTCTACTGCAAGACTGTAACAACATATTTGAAAAGTACTCAAACAAACCTGATTCTCCAAAAAGACTATCAACAGAGATCCATAATGTGTTGGTAGGTGTTGGTACTGGTAAATGTTACCGTGCTTTTTGTTATGACATTGAAGATAATGAAACAATGGTCCTGCCTAATTTGCCAAAATGTCAAGCTTTCCCTCACTTGGTTAGTTTGAACAAGGTGGTATACATTCTTGGTGGTGAAAGCCAAAGAAACATTAATTTTGACCCTGTAAATAGTGTTAGAACATTTTCCATGGAATATGGAAGATCTGAGTGTGGGCTGCTTGCAGGATGGGTTAGAAAACCTTCATTTAGAGAGGTACGAAGAGATACTGCAGTTGCAATGCTTGGTAGAAAGATTTATATTTTGGGTGGATGGATGTCTGGTCCTATAGCAAGAGTAGAATGCTATGATGGCGATACCTGTACATGGTCTTGTGTTGCTCCACTGGACCTGCCAAGATCCCAACTCACTGCTATAGCAACCAAACAACATGTACTTGCAATTGGAGGCAGTGAAGATCAAGTTGTTGGAAGTCGAGTAGTAGAACAATTTGATCCCGATAAAAACACTTGGAAGTTTCTTCCATCTTTGAACACAAGAAGAATGCTTGCCAGCTTGGTTTTTGCTCATGATTTGGTTTATATCTTAGGTGGCCACGATAATGCCTTTGACCGTATAACAAGCTGTGAGGTGTTTGATCCAGCTACTTGTGCTTGGACTAGAATAGCACCTCTACCCGATACCCTTTGTACCAATCAATCAGTTATCACACTTAACAATGAGATCATTGCCATTACTGGTTCGCCAGAAGGTACATGCAACACAGCATGGTACAACAGAGATGCTGATATCTGGGAGAAAACACAGAACTTTGGTATTCAGTTCAACATTGCAGGATACAGACTTTGCTGTTTACAAGTCAAGAAATTCTACCTGCAAGAGCTTCCTAAGGCATCCAGAAAGAAGACCAATTCCAATATGAATATCTTTGATCAACAAGAAAACTTTGTTGAGGAAGATGATAGTCTAGTTACAGACCTTGGGTTATCACTGAGTGAAGAGGAAGACAACAGTAGTGATAGTGATGACTATGTGCATCTCTTTCAATGTTAACAATTATATTAGAACTTGTTTAGACTTTCTTTTGATTTCTTTGTACTCAGACATTAGTACTACCTTGATAAATTATGGCTGCTTAGGCTGAAAGCTCAGTAATAAAATTGCAGTAAAAAAAAGGATTCTTTAATTTTTAGTACTATATTAGACTATATTAGACTTAGATATTTTTTGACTGCTCCCTAAGTTAGTACAGCASCTCTGTTGTTAGCTTAGATTTTGATTTATTGTTTGGAAGGTGTATCTATTCTCAACCTATCATGAGATTGCTTCCCATCACTCCTGACTGCCAATGATTAGCGATTCAGTTCAGAAACAGAACAATTGTTGTATGATTTGGTCAATCATTATGGGATGGTTATTTTGCATACAGAAAAACTGTTAAATTACATAATTAATATTTTAAGATTGCAGTTAGGAATCAGAATAGAATTGAAAAAAACACTTTGCCCCTCACTTAGATAATCAAACTTTATTCAGTGGTTTCAGTCTGCTAGAGGTCCTTCATCACTAATGGTAGATAAAGGTCGTGTATTTACATCTGAATAACTTAGTCTTTCAATTCCAATATAAATATCTCCAATGTTTGCAGTCCACACACAAGTATAGTATGTTGCTTCTTCCAAATAAATTTTCCACCCATGAAACCATCAATGAAACAAGCCAGTATTACAAAACTTTCCAAACCCAATAAGAACACTACAACAAAGGATAYGTACGAGTGATTACTAATTTAATGCAAGCACTTTRTCAATTGTCTACCCATGTCTAAAATCATTTTTTATGGCTGTCCTTTTGTTCTTGGTGACATTCAGGAAAGGATCATTATATTCAATAATTTTTAGTGAAACTACTTTCTTTGCAAAACATAACAAACAATGTCTATGCATATATAACAAGGCAGGCATGCACGCTTTATTCTATACAGTCACAATCACAAAGATCTTTTACCCTATAATACTTGTAAAGATTTTGGTAGGGATTTTTCCTTTGTAAAAAATGTAGGGAAATTCAAAATCCGGGGCCAGCCCACTTAATCTGGCTATTTTTTCTATAAACATGTGCAGCATTACCTATTGAGACTGAATAACAAAAATTCTACTGCAATTAATTCTGTCACCACTGTATTCATGTAGGCTGATTTACACCATGCAACTTGTCACRTGTAACTTGAATTGTACACTTCATCCATAAATWTTAGGATTCTGAGCCTAGGTTCAAAAGCTTRACACAAGTCTAGGGCCACGTGTCTGATCRTAGAGCACTTAGGGTATAATTGTCTTGTATGTCAAGTGGAGCACAACAAGTTGCATTGTGCCGGTCAGCTAGGAAAAAAATGTTGCATATTTTTGTTATTACAGCTTMTAATGTTAAAAGAGCTATATCTGAAATCAATTCAGATTTGTGATTCAGTCTTATTCACTTTGGTATTATATTTTACTTTGCTTACTTTCAGCATAGCACTGTGGCCTTGCAATTTTTGTCATAATAATCGAAYCCCTCACTTTTTGTGGATGTCTCCACAAATAATTCATTGAATTTCTTGTTATTATACTTAAGTTATGTCAGTTTTAAAGGACTTTTGTACAAGAATTTAGCTTTTGAACACAGTTTTACACCACCATTTGAATAGYAATACTATTTGTAAGACCTCCTTGACATGACTTCATTTAAAATACATCTTTTGTCCATTTTTAATACTTGAAAAGATAAACGTGTGCAATTGAGAGAAAATATATCTTTTCTTAAAGGATGTTAAATGGCATAATATCACACAGCCAAAATTAAACCAAAAATCTCTAATATCTTTAGTGTATCATATTAGATTGATTGAATTGCTCTTCCTTTAAATTATACATGGAAAGCACAGCTAGCAAGCATTTTATAGCATCATTATTATAACTGTCCTTTTACAGCATCACTAGAGAATTTGCCAATCAATTGAGAGTAGATTCCTATTTGTGTCCAGGCAGTGAGCAACCTCCTCAGCAATACTGTGTGACCACCAAAGTTTTTGTAGCTTGTTGTAACGTTCTGGACATAAATAGAGAGGGTTGCCTCGCCTGAAATATTCATAAAAATATGTCATTTTAATTAAAATATAAACATTGATATCAAGAGAASAAACTTTGTTACAAGTCAATCTCTTGACCACAAATATATCAAATCAATTTAGAAATGAAATGATCACTTTAAAATTAATTCTTAAATGATAAACATGATGACTTTAAAGTGAWACCAAAGAATTCCTTACCGTAAGCCCTGGTCTGTTTCACCATAGGTATCTAAATATGGMGCACTATAAAAACAYCCTTTTGAACGACTGGCCATCAAAAGTATCTGACATTCCCGCACTCGTAAAAATACACCTACTCCAGCACCACAATTCTGGGCATGWGCAGCACAAGCACCGACCTTATCACCACTGACTTCTGTTTGGCAGCAGTAACTTTGTGAACAGAGCATCTTGCCACATATCAAACACAATACTGGTGCACGACTCTCATCACCTTCAGAACTAGGACAACTGAAAGACAAAGGTTATGGGTATTTAGCACTAATAACATTAAAGATAACAAAGTTCATTATCATTACTTACGTAAACAGTGAAGCCTTGTTGATAAGCTCACTGTAGTCTCTTGGAAGATGCAGCAAATGGTTGGGTGTAAGGGAATACCTAAATATTGTACAATATCAAGGACTATTCTTAAAGAAAAACATGTCAATTGATTCTATTATCAGAGCTTACCCAAGGGTTTCCACTCCAGCATTTGCAAGGGTTTTYCTGACTACCTCATGTGTGCACCATCTATGGAAAAAATGGCAAAGTGAATGAATCTCACTAACCAGTRGTCTAMAGTATCACGACATAGAAATGAAAGACAGTTATAGTGCTTAGAAGGAGGCAATTATGGGAGAAAGACCCTTTAAGAATAATTCAGAAAAAAATTGATTTCCGACCTCGCTGAGAATTGCCTCCTTCTAAGCACTGTAACTTTCTTTCATTTCCTATCATGTTGATCATAATGCCATGCAGTCCTCATATTCATGTCKAAAGCATCACACTGATAGTTGAAATGGGAGATTAATTGGATTGAAGGAAAAGAAAACAAATGAAAGCATAGGAAGCAAGACGACTAACTTACCTTTTTACTGYAAGCGTGATAACAGATGAAGTGATATTACAACTGTCTTGATCCCACTGTAGTAGGTCAGTCAAACATGGGAGCAATGATAARTAGTGACAAAGACAATCCCATTCCTTCTTTATACTACAATGTTCTAAAATACAAGGGCATTTTCACTAAACAGCCTATCATAAGAATTATTCATCACAATCATATTGATACTTTTTTTTGTTAAATACAATTAAAATATTTTTTTAAATAAACATTAGGGAGGGGAAAAAAGATAAAACTAGTCAGCTAGTATTAAAAAGTGAGATTTAATAGGCCCACATGTATCCAAAAACCTCTGAAAGATTTTTTCACATATGAAAATTCCCCATATTTGATTTCAAATGGTCGCACTATGTCTTGGAGACATGTGGGCCTTTAAAATTTCAAAATCAGATTTCTCTACCATTCAAGGTATCTGGTCCAGGAATTTCTGTCATGAAATGAAAGAACAAAGCAGAGCATCGTAGAAATGGTAACATTACTGTTCTCAGGTGTTTTAGGAGTCTGCCAGGAAACATATGGGGTGCTGAGGTAGGAAGACTAAAAGAAAAAGAAAAAAGCAATTTAAAATTAGATCGTCAAAGGGACATTAAAAGTGAACATATACAGTCAGGTAAACTTAAAAAATCATGACAGGCTGATCCAAGATGGACGCAAAAAAGAATGCTCTGGGTAAAAACAATGAGCATAAGAACATATCAATTAACAAGAAAAACAGAATGATAAACTGTTGAAAAAATATGAATAATTGGAAACCACTAAAAACTTACCCAGCCCAGTGCCTCAATTTCCCCCACAATGATGCTAGGTTTTTAGCTTCATCTGTTACCTGTTCAACTGATTCCAGCTCTATCAAACAGAAAGTGCATAAGAAAGTCATGAACCTGGTCATGTCAAACTTTAAAAGTTTAAGGTAATTGTTTATTCAATTGTTTATTACAAGTCCACAATCAGATGTCAAGAGGAAGATACATAAGATATGCCCATCTTCAGTTGCTAATTGAACATTAAAGGAGGAAAACACCTCAAATTAACAAGAGSAAAATCCACAGGACCTGCTCAAAAACCCTCACAGACTAAAAAACATATTGTTCCAGTCCATGAATTGAACTAGAACCAAAACAGTAAGAGACATAAGTCTGCCCAGTCTTTCTTGTAAGTACAAACCATCAGAATCCAGCTCTGGAGAGGTAGTGAGTAACGTCTTGACAATTTGTGCAGCAAGGCAAAGCTGAAAGCAGCACATATCCATTGATGAAGAACTTTCAAGACCTATGACAGAGTCAATGCCAGGTGATGTAGGTCTTCTTGGGCTTYCTTCAGTTTCTTTCTTGTATTGAAGGCTTGGTATAGATAGTCTAAGTTTGACCTGGAAGGAAAATAACAATTAACAGCAGTTTGTTGTGGCAAGTGCAAAACACTCAGTYTGTTGAAAAAGGCTGAAGTACCAAAATGCCCTTAATAAMACAGAGATATTTAAGCTACAAGTTGGTGTTTTGTCTTACTTCATTATTCTTTGTTATAAAATTATGTAGATATATTTTCATTTACCATGAGACTAAATATGTCTAAATCCAATAAGCAAGGGCTCTCCACATCAGGTATTGAATCTGGAGTTAGGGCTGCAATCAAACAAATATCTATTAATGCACTAAAAAATGATGTTTTCTATATCAACTGCTTTGATAAGTCAACAGTATCATCATTTTGTGTTTTACTTACGTGCCAAGAGTCTTAGACATTGCAGTTTGACATCATTAGAGTCAGCTATTCCAGCAACCACTGCAGCAAGTCTGGTTAGTGCTCCAATGCATTGAGACTGTAAAGGAAAAAAAAAGTTAGAGTTGCTGCTTTTCCCCTAATGTCTTTGACATCAAGAATTCAATGTTGAAATAATACAAAGAAATGATAGCTGCAAATGAATAGAGACAATTTCATGGGCTTTGGTTTGATTCCAGCAATGTTAGAAACATTAAACTTTTGACTTTCTTTGTAGATTTTGTTTTATTCTATTTACCTGTCGAGGTGTAAACCCTGAAAATAATGGTTTTCCTTCTGCTCTTAAAGCACTTTCTGAAAGAACATTATAAAAGTAAATATTTTAACTTATTGCTACCTGATCATTTGCACACTAAAAATATCATTAGTAGGTAACGGGATTTGTGAGGCATTTCATTGCCTCAATTCTAGTGTATATTAGTTATCATGTACCTCCACTTTGTATCGTATAAGCACATGCTGTCCAAGCCATGACTGACACCCGTCTATCATCCTCATTAGGCTCTAAACCAAGTCCAATCTAAAAATCAAGTTGATTTAAAATAATTAAAATTTTAATCAGATATGGTACCTAAATCAAGCGTAGTATAGAGGCAATTTCGTATGAATGGGAAACCAATGCTGTACAGTATGGTTAGGATATGGTTACGGTACAGTTAYGATACAGTTACGGTACGGTAACGGTACAAAATTGACTTGAAATCGATTCTAACTTACTGTAAAACAAGACTGAGCAAACACTTTCATCATGTCTTTGAGTGTTGTTGAAAACTTGGACCTGCATGGTTATTTACATAATTAATAACAACTTTCAAAAAATTGAAGAAATTAAAGTAAAAAAAAATCAATTACCCAGAGCGAGTAAGTGCATGGAATAGAGCCTGGAATCTYTCTGCTAAAGAGGGATGAATACTTTGATTTTCTGAAATGTAAAGCAAAGAACATTAAGACAAAAAGATCTTCACCAAATTGAAATTAGCAATTATAACACAATATCATATCATATGTGCCTGTAATAAGCAACAGTACTTGGTGAACTGGCCTAAAATGATAAGCTTTTTACAGTTATAAGGATTAACTGATAATTCAATATTATAATTATTAAACAGATAAACCAATTTGCAGTAGTCAAATTGCTAGATTTAACCTTACTCACATCTTCAAAACAACTTGACAGTCACATATATAAATTAATAAACAAAGGTGTGTGCAAAATTCATCCAGATGTTCTTTAAAATTACCTTTTTTGCTGTCTGGTTCCTGATTTGATGTTAAAACATGCAAGTTTGACATAACAACATCTTGCATGCTACTGAGATATTCCTGCAAGCTGACCTCTTGTAAAGTACTACAACAAATAAAGATCAATCATAAGTATCAATGAAAATGTTGATTGGTTCATTGCGGATTACCTTTCATGCTTGCCTAATGCCAATGGAGGAAGGATAGGTAGCACAGTGTTGCAGATACAACCACACAATGGACATAGAAACTCTCTTCTATTGACATCAACAGTAATAAGATGTCTGATTCTTAATGCTCTTCTTTCCTTAGCAACTACTGAATCAAAAAAACTCTGCCAACAATCACTATGCATGATATGACCACAACTTGTAGTATGCAAACCCCAGTAATTATCGGATGGAGGGTACAATGGATCAAAGTTCTCTCCATCATCAAACATCTTTCCTCGTGWCTTGGATAAGACAGTGGAAAGCTGTACAAAGGCTGCCATTACAACAGCTCTTCCTTTGGTGCTGACTTCTTGCTGTTCTTGACAGAGTATACAGGACTCTAGTGAATAATTTGCCTTAGGATCTCTTTCACCATGGTGTTGTCCTAACACAACTGGTTCTGAGACTGTGGAGTTTGTACCATCTGTTTGAGTCATATGGTAATCTTCCATAGAACTGTACATGAAAGAASAATCAAATATCATAACATAGAATCTATCAAGCTTATATAGCATAAAATGTAAAAGTGATGAGTCCATACCGATCATTGCCCATTGATGCAAGGAGATCAGCATTCTCYCTAATRAAAGCTTTCTGTAAAGCTGACATTTGAGCCATGATTTTTGCTCGTCTTTCTTGGGCAAGACGAGCCTTTCTTGCTTTTTCATCTTCAAGGTTGTCAGARCTATCAAGCTTGCCAAGCTTTTCCCAGAGTTCTTTGTTAGATTCCCTTTGTTCAATGGCCTCCAACTCTTCGTGGAAACTCTASAATGAAAATCATTTCTATTTAAGTTTACAGCTATCCCTGCATGTCTTTGGACATGCAGTGACCTTTTAAACAAGAATGTGGGTTATAATCAGGTTGGATGGTGGTTTGATTAGCTGGTAGAAATGTCTCAAAGATTCTCGACAGTATAGTGGTTTGAAATAAGCACTAAGATACCTTTAGCAGCCATTCAATCAAACCAGAGAATTCTTGTACATGTGGATTGTCATGAAGACCTTCTAGTAGCTTTAAAAGACTTTCTTGACCATCTACAGTAAAAAGTATAACATGCATTCATAGTAGTTGGGTAATTTTAAAGCTTATAAATCTGTACATGTCACAGTTATGTAGATTTCTAATACACCTTTTCAGTTGCTCTTAGGCCTCGACAGCGTGTTAAATATTCTTGTGAATTTGTAGGAATATATGAATAGTCTCATTTATCAAATTCAAAAGAATAACTTGCTATTRAGGCCTAAGAGCTATTGAAAAGGTGTATTCTGTTACCATTGTTATTGTATTTCTTTGTTGCTGCTTTTACAAATTGAAATTGCTCAGATTCTCCTTTYTCTCTGTGTCGCTTTACTTCCAGAAGAGCAAGTGCAATAAGGTGAAGGGCCTGCAAAGAAATATTATGATTTCATTGGCATATTATCTTTACCTGAATTGACCAAGCATTTAACAAGAACTAGCAAAAAAAAACCCTGACCACCATGATGAAATCATCATGACTAATCATCAGTAAAATGTTACCTGATGTGTGTGCATATGGGTAACAGTGTTAGATGTTCCACTTGCTGCTCTAGATAAAATGCAACTCAACACACGAATCAGTACTTTAGAGCACAATAGTTGCAGTACATTCTTGAATGGGCTACAAAACTCAGGGGGGAGAGGTGGTGGACAACCTAGGTATGTAAAATATAGTATAAGAATTGATATTTGATAATAAGTTTGTGTTATTAGTGATAAGAAGATATTAACTTATTAACTTATGTAAAAATGCCTTATCTCTTACCATCAAGGGTTTTATCTTTTTTTGCTCTTTTTCGCTGCTCTTCCTCTGCCTAGAGAATTAAGACAAAGCTTAGAATCACCAGACAATGTTATTTCCATCATTACTGCAGCCGTATAAACTACCTGTCTCATTGGCAATCAATTCCATATAATCATGAGTATATGCTTCTACTGTTGTAATTATTACTTTACATCACTTTGATTGATGGTTAATTAATAAATAGTAATATGTTACCTTTGACTGTTCAATTCTACTGTAGTGATAGAAAAATGGGTTATATTCTTTGTAATACTCTTCTTTGAGCACATAAAGACCACGCCCAGTCACACCTGGTTTCCTAATATTTCAACACAGCAAGATATTGTTAAATAGCAATATTATTATCCTATAGATAGGATCCSATGAGAAGGTGAATGGGCTGCACAACCTTTTCTCAAATGACACACCTATGTCTGCTGWGTCAAGTGTAAGGACAACTTACTTGAATGTTGCAACAGAAGCCATGACATGATCTACACTATGCTCACTCTCTACGACATAGTCTGGTAAAGGTAGAGCTTTGACAAGTTCACTGTGTGCCATTGCTTTAATACATAATTTATGGATAATTTCACGACGGTAGAAGTCATCAGAGGAGACTTGACCAATTCCTGGTGTGTATCTTTCACCTGTAGAGAATCCACAATGTCWTGTTTAAAAAGTAAAATAGAAAATAATAATATGAAACATATCATTTGAGATACTATTGCATTTATTCAAATATCCTGAACAAGAATTCCTACCAACAATAACAATGATTAAGGCTAGGAATTCTTCGGCCATTGTTAATTTATGTGTCCATTTATCCTGAAAGAAAAAGAGACAATGATAATTTCATGACACTTTTCCTTAGTTTATAAATTCAAATTTCTTATTTTACCCCATCCATCTTGGATTCACTACAACTTGGACTGTGAACAAAATAAAAGTTTTATGTCATGAAACATTTAGATCTTATTTACAATAGTAAATAACATACAGTGACCAATCCAAAACACCAAACAATAGTAAATAACATACAGTGACCAATCCAAAACACCAAACAATAGTAAATAACTTACAGTGACCAATCCAAAACACCAAACTTTTCCAGCAAGATAGCAAGGAAATGATCAGTTTCCAGGTAAGAAGCCGAGRCCTATTGAAAACAACATATTTGTTGGAATACTATACAAGCACAATGGTAACCTGATCTCTACAATAAGGYGGCACTGCCCAGCCAAGAGAGGTTAAAAACTAGTATTAAAAGACCTACCTGCATCATGATTACATCTTTGTCGTACATTTCTGATCTACATTTCACATTTTGGTAGTGGAATACCTATAAATAATACATTAATAACAGTAGATAGTTTATACTGTAATAAAATGGATAATTGTAAAAGGACGTAATAACAATCTCACTTGATTCATTATGGCGTAACCATTTCTTCTCCACATCCCAGAATGCACTTGGGCAACCATAACTAAGGTGCGTAGGGACTGCTCCATAAGAAACAGTTTCAGCTTTTCATCCTATAGGTGAAGAAAGTTAAGTTTTCAGTTCTTATCCAGCTTATCCAGCATTCATTTACATATCAAATAATGTCTTCTTAATTATTGCTTCACTATTACAATATTGAACAAATGGTTTCATTTCAGCAACATGTTTACAGTCACCAATGACTCACCTTACATTCATTGACAAAGAGAGTAGATAATTCTATGTTGTATCTATGACAACCAGCTAGCAGTGCTGTCACAAAAATATCAATGAATATAAATCAATTATCAAATAATTGTGTAGCATAATAACAACAATAAAAAACAGTAGCTAAACTGTGTCTGCATAAACTTAGATAAATTTACAWTTCACAAATATAGCAAACCTGCTAAGTATCTTGATACAGGTAAATGGATTGAAACTGGAGATTTRGATACATCATACTTGATCACTTTGAATCTTTCATCACATACTGGAAATAGTATGAATAAGAGGTTTTTGTAATATAAAAAAAAACTAATCAAAGCAAAAACATGCTTATTTTATAAGAGTAAATAGGTTTAGGAAGCCAGAGGTAGATACACATTTTTTATTACTAGCTCAAAACTCATTACAATCCTGTGATTTTTTCAAGGCAAATTTACAGGCAAATTGTAGCTTTTCATCAAGATTCAAGCCCTTATGCTCTAATTCWAATATGAAGAACTCAAGAATTGAAGAAGCTTGTAAATTTTACCTTTTATTTCTTTCAGATCTATTACATTAAACTTCTTTCCTGCTTCAATCATAGCTAGAGTTGTAGATTGAACAGCCTTCTTGAAAACGGCTTCCTGCAATCACAAATTAATTTATATTCATAATATTTGAATGAAAATTTACATTAAAAGGATATTGGATATTGGATATAAGGATAATGCTTTTTGCTAGTAAATATATAACTTACATCACTAAGACACCATTCACAAACCATTGAGAGTAATGGCATTATGCGCATCTGAAGAGTAAATGCTAATTCCCATTCAGGATCATTTTCAACGTGTTGGCCAGTCTTGCGAGTAACCATGTCCATACCCTACATCAAACATAATTATTTTATCAGTTCATGAATTCTCACATTTAGTGATAAGCAACTTTATAACCAACCTGCATGTTTTTAAGTAAACTGAGAAATAACTCAAAGAAATTTAGAAATGTTTCACGAAGTTCATCAGTCCAATTATCAGGTTTATGCTGAAGAATGTACCTACAGATATCAATCAATCAATGAAATCAACAAATCAGTCAATCTATCGATTGGATGAAATGTGTATTGAATGTGTATCGAGTTTGAATCGAGTCAATGAAATGTGTAGTGAATGTGTATAGAGTTTGTATGAATGTGCATCGAGTAGTTTTATAATTGATATAAAATATTAATCATGAAATACTTACTTTAAATCAAACAAAACATATTGCGCTCTCCTCAACGGTTGAAACCATGGATTATGAAGCAAATAAGTACCATTATCTTCAAAACATACAGAAAAGTCAATAGACTGCTTCAAAAAATGGCAGAAAAACATAAATAATAAATCATTGGTCAGAAGAGCTAATTATGTATGGCAAGATCTTTGGTATTGCTGCATGGCCAAGATGCTTGTCAGGATGTCTTTGTTATTTAAATTGTTTGCCATTTTTCAAATTGGTTTATAGGTAATTATTAGTTTATTAGTTAGAAAATAACAGCAATATCTGCAGTGATGTTACCTCCAAGAGTTTTCTTCAGTTCTTCCATAAATGTTTGTAGAATTACTATCAAGACATTGTGTTCTAACACTAACATTCTTGCCTTTGAATGAAAATATTGATATCTCAGAAAAGTAAACACATTTGACAAAATAATATTCTACAAATCACATATATTTAGAGAATTTTCATATAATTATTGAACCCACCAGTGTTGGAACTGTGAATATTTGCACAGAAAAGGATGTTGCCTAAACAAAACAAAAAAACGATTATTTGTATTTTTATAAAATAAAGTGGACATTGAATAAATCATGTTAAAGCAAACAGTTATCATGACTATGAATTTYGYCCAACTGGCTGCTTCAATAAAATGATACTTACAGATATTGAATGCTCATGGTCATCAGCTACAAACTCTTCCATGAGTTTCTTATAATTCTGAAAAACACAATTATTCAACACTATATTAGCTGAGTTCTCAACAATAAAAAATAATAGAGAAGAAAAGTAGAATGATCTGTTTTAACTAGAGAAGAAACGACTGTAGTGAAGCACACAAAGTACCCTGGTAAAATGTATTGCAAACCATTTCTTGCCCTCTCCATCCATTATCATGCTGCAAAAAATGAATGAATGCACAAATGAATGAATGAATGAAAACTAGAATCACTTTCGTTACATACCTATTCATAAAAACTGCATGCGTCTTTGATCTTGCAACTAAATAATATTCAAAAAATAGGAAATTAGATCTCAATACCAATTACTATAAATAGCAACAAATTAGCACCAAACTCACCGAGTTAATGATAACAAAACAATAAGTTTTAAATAAAACGTGCACTGATCATCAATATCAATAACCAACCTTTCCATAAATTTGCATCCTCTTGAAAGATTCTGTCTAGTAATGACCCATCCTCAAATGGCACAACAGCAGTTTCACATAGAAGTCTTCTGAGGCCCTCTAATTMAAACAAAACACATTTTACATATTTTTCAAAAACACTCCATTGCTGCAGGCTACTCCAACTTAGATACTACTACAGATATCCCTTGCAAAACACCTGAATATCACAGGTAATCCATGAAACACATCTGAATTAATCCATGACACACATCTAAATATTAAGATAGCTAGGTACACATCAAGACTAAAGGTCACTCATGTCCTATAGGATACCTGTATTATTCAGGTATTTTTATGGTATACCTGTGGTATTCAGGTGTGTTACATGGGTTGCCTGTGTTATTCAAGTGTGGATCATAAAATACCTGTGCTATTAACATAAGAAACACACCTGAATAACCAATAACTTTGTTGATCCATCCTAATAAGCGTAGCATAATTAACTGATGAGCCACAACCTTGAGATGCATTACTTTACATTTTAATGGATTACGAGTAGGTCCTGATGTGCCTTTCTGCTCAGTAAAAGAGTAATGATCAGTACAACAATCAAACTATTGATCTCTTGATTCATCTTGTTTTACCTCCATTATTTTCCTGGCTGCTTCACAAGTAATGTAGTTTCCTACTCTTACTGGTGACCACCCCTRMAAAGGGAAAACATACCATAAATGATTCAGGAAACTGAAACTGTTTTATTGCTCTTTTTGCTTTTAACTTCACAGAATAAAGTGCTTGTATCAAAAAAGATAAATAAGTATATGGAGGATAGCAATACAAAGGTAAACTCTACATGTAACACACTAGTTTGAAATTAAATGTAAGGTTAAGGAGACAATACATATAAAATAATAACAATACTAAGTATTAAAATGTCAAAACATAATCATAACTTGTCAGTATAAACACACCTCTCTATCTACAATATTTGCATAAGCCAGAGCTTTTTCCCGGTCACAACCTGGAATTGCTTCTTGAAGGGTTGTTATCACCTGTAATTTGCCAGTCAGAGCAGYATTATAATAATTCTGTAAATATTTAGATCCAGCAAGATACCAATAGATTTGCTATTGAGAAGCCCAGCACTAGTTACCTCATCATAYGTATGAAGCTCATCATTAAACAGCATCGTCACAAAGTAATCTTCATTGCATCTATTAAAAGTAAGAAACTTTCCAAATGAAAAATAGATTCATGTAGAATGGGTACACAAATTGATATATGAACTGATATGATATTCAAAAACTCATACATAATTAATGAGCTATTAGGCCAATAGAATGAGCCTATTTGGTCACATGCATGGACCTTTATATCTGATAAAACACTCCTTATTAGTATTCTTTATATAAAGAATACTAATAAGGGTGACCTTTATCAGATATAAAGGTCCATGACCCTAGCAAAGGTCTCAGCTGGATGTCAACCAATTGCAGTTAACATGCAAAAGTGGTTCTATTTTACTTTATGCGTGTTCAATGTGGGAAGACAAGAGTGCTTTGTAAAGTGATTCGTGCATGATCAGTTTTCCCCATTTATCCCAAAACTTATTTTTACAGCAAATTCTCCAAGAATAATTTTAACGGGTTTGAGTTTCAAATTAGTGTTTGAGTTTTTGAAGCTGTTTAAAACACTCGAGATCGTGTTTTAAACTATACATCAAACATTTTACTGGATATTCAATACTTACGATATTCCAAGTGTGTCTGGTAGCTGTCCTGTTTTATCCCAGCAAACCATCTCAACAGCATGCTGAAGGACAGTTTTAAAGAGCATCTCTGCTCGTTGAACCAAGTCAGCTGGCAGCTTATCAACTGGACTCTAACACAATTTAACAACATTGATGAAACTTATATTTTTAAAGGATCTCAAAGACTGTTCTGGATTTTATGTAGATGTACTGTAAGTTGATCAAAAAGAAAGCAATACCTGTTGTTGATCTTCTGCTGTATCAGATCCTTGTTGATGTAGTTCACATGAATAACCATCTTTCCATGCTTCAGGATCACCACAATCACAGAATCCACTACCATAAGATGTGTTCATCTAATAACAATTACATCACAACATTGTCAAGAATTTTATCTRAAAAGCTGTGGCACTCTGCAGTACCCATAGGTCTCAAACTCAAACCCAACATAAACGCCAATACAGGCTTCACCTCGAATCAGAGAAGATTCAAATTTTTAGAGCTGTTGTAATCCCAACATTTTCTCATGCTTTCTTTTGCATTTGGTAAGTTCTTTGAGAAAGTGAGTCTGTTGTCTACTATAACAACGGTCACTCTCTTTGAACAGGAATATGTCGTATTGTTCATTACTAACCTTGTACTGATGATCTTTATGAATACTCTTTTGAAAACAGTCAATACAAAGAACACATGTGCCATCATATCCACAATCCCTTAACAAATCAATTAGACATAAAGTTTAACCACCTCTACATTTGCAACATATCTGTGAAACCAGCCTCATCCCCGGACTGGTGCCCTAGCATTGCCTGTACATATACTGGGTAAACAAATTATGTCCATAAMRAAGGGGTCAATTTGAATGCATAGTAAATAAATGYTTTCAAAGTGCATTCAAAGTCAAACATTCTCCCTGTAACTGAAAATTCCACAAGCTGATGCATTGCAATATGCTGTCTGTCAATTTGGTTGGATCTGTTCCTTCTAACTAATGAGAAAGGAATGACGGTCTCAAAAAGCTGGAAATGCAGTGTTGTTTTCTGTCATTATCAGAGTTCGAGATTKKAATTTAATTTTGCATTAAGTCAACTGAAGTTTGAAAACAAAAAAATAAAATRAAAAATCCAATGATGCATTGAATAAYGAACTATTCAGGGGGTGCGCTTCATGTAAAACATGATATTATTAAAAACTATATCATCACTTTCTCTCGACCAATCATATGGGAGAGTTGTTTTGWAACTAAAAGCCTGTCCTGGACACCTTCCAGATATTTTAATGCATTATTAACACCAAACAATGAAAAATAAGTTGTTTATATGTTACATATTAAAGACGTTTATAATTTAACAAGAATTTTTATCAGTTTTACCACTTTACCTGCAGTTAAACGTTGGATCACCAAACTTAAACATTCTACCGCAAAGTTGTGGTGGTTTATTCTGACTTTGGATTTTTGCGAATGCTGACGATGGGTCTTCTCCGCAAAGAAAATACTCCAAAACATTTAAAATCTTCTCCTGAAATTTGTCCTCTTTAACGCTAGCTTTAAGTATCTGTGTCTGAGTTATTTCAAAGCAGCTGAGTGCGTGCTTAGATAGTAGTTGGAAAAACAACCTTTTGAAAACAGAGGGACTGTTCTTAATTTCATCAATCCACTTCTCGCCTATCTGGCTTTCTTTTGACTCGGCTGGCATTATGGATTCCTCATCCATTTCTTCGTCACTCATTTTTTGTCCCTTCAATGTTAGAAATCACATTGTACAATACGATTCATGGTCAAATGTCTCAAATTTTTCGAACATAAATTCCTATAGCATGTCTGTTTCACCAAACAAAATGGCGTCTGAAAAATACATGTTACACAAGCCCGCTGACCATTTTGAAAATCTTCTTTTTCTCTTTACACGAGTTATTTATGAAGTATTAATTTTCTGCTATTCTCAAAAAGCATATTCTTAAATTTTCTAAAACGAACATTATTTCTTTAAAAAAATCCCCTTCTTTCATTGTATTTTTTTTCATACTCTTTGGGCTTCCTATGTAATCTACCGCTGACCGTGTAAATAAGAAGACTTTTTTCTGTTGAGTATTTTCTGTAATAATGAATGTCCAACTGGTGAAATTGCATCAACACGATGAATTGATAGACATAGCAGTGAAGATTYTGAATGATCAATGGCCAAGAAGTAAAATTGCAAGGTAGGCATGAACATAGTATTGATAATTCCGTTATTAATTGCACTGGACACATAGATGTTATAAAATGAAATGTGCTCTGACAGATTGCATAGCCTATCAGACTCGAGAGATGATTTTCCATGCTGTTTATTATTAATTGCAAAAGACAACCAACAGAAATCAGTGGTCATTGGTCACAGTAAGCTGGCAAGAGTACATGGAAAATCGAAGTCTCTCTTTATCGAAAATGGCAAGTACACATTCAGAACTGGAATGACTTTGTCAGTGGAAGTGTTGGGCTTTCTTTGCCATCTACTCAACAAATAGATTTTCACATCCTTCTGTACTCTAATAGAAACAYAGATGACATCAAAATGTGCAAAGGGTGAGCTAACTTTTAAACTGGAACAACGAATTGAAGAAAGAGTATTGGGAAGGCACAGGAAGCTCAAACTAAAATGAGATRCAAACAAGACTCAGAAAAAGAATGAAACAAGATTATAACATTTCTATTTTATTTGTTGATGTATTTTATTTCAGTTGTCATTGATAAGGGAAAGAGAGGTCTTGGTTTTGGTAGAAAGTTGATGGAACTCTCTGAAGATTATGCTCACAAGTATGTAGGACTTAAACCATGCCATCCCATATACATGTACAAAATTCATCACATACATCAATATGATCTCATACCAATTGGTCCTTGTGCATCTGGGAACCTTTGTTCAATTTTCTCACAWACAAAAAATTACCATCTTTGATTCTAAACCAATCAGAAAACAACATTCAACAACAAATTAGKCAAAAGATCACAAAGAAATCAGATGCAAAACATGATGTTTTTTATGTTATGTGTGTTTGAAGGCAAGGTTTTGAAGATATTTACCTCAGCACTCAYGACAAATGCAAGTTTTATGAGCATCTTGGTTATTGCTATACATGTGCAGTGTCTCCTGTAAGAGCCAATGCAAAGCTACTTACGCCTGACCAGGTATAACAAATTCAAACAATTTTTACATGTGCCTTATGAAAAGAAATGTTTTTATCATGTATAAATAAAGTGCTAATTRTCAGAAAACTTGACAATCAAGTTTACTACATACTTTCCAGTTTTCAGCTCTTCAACATCATTTTGGAGGGAAGACAGATGGAATATCTAAACAAAGCCTWCAAAATGATGACTTTGCACAAAAAGATGGAGAAGATATACACTTACAAACAATAGCTATCGCTGAATCAAACCATTACACAGATACAGTGATACAACAAATGATAGGTACTCTTCCAGCAGCAAATATTGAGGAAACAGTCCATACRAAACTAATTCCTCCTGCACCTCCTCCTGTACCTCCTCCTCCACAACCAAGATTTGAAAAGGATCAATCAAACATGAGACAAGAAATTCAATATTGGATGATGAAGCAACTTTGATGATTTTTATGCCTCCTCACCCCACTTGCAYCTGTATGAGTTTTCTGTATAGTATTTTCTTTTAAAGAATAAAGAATATAACTAAAATAACAAGTCAAAAATCAATTAGGCTGCATTCATTATGTATAGTGATACCACAGGGGAGGGGGGGGGCAGAGGAAATTTTGCTAGAAGGCACAAAATCTTTGGATCCCCCCCCCAAATCTCAGCAGTAATTTTCATATCCCCCCTAAATTTGTGCGATAGACATTATAGACATTTTATGTATGGCCAAAAATTTTGACATCCCCCCTTTTCCATTCCCTAAATTTTCAGATCTCCCCCCTCAAATTTCCTCTGCCCCCCCTGTAGTATACGTAATGAATGCAGCCTTAAGAGGTCATATGAAACTTTAGAATGTAAATCTTGATGACATCAAACATGACAATATCACTGATCTATATATGACAGTCATTCTTATTGTGCTTCAATCTTTATTTCAAATATATTTTTGACTTTCTTCCAAATAACWAAAATGATTATTTGTCCCAGAGAGTATATCGAAAAGATGCCCTAGGCACACTGGGGGCCCTTAATGCAGCACTCAGTAACAAATCATTTATTAAAACCCTCTGAAAAATCTCTACATTTGCTTTTGTATCGTGTCCAGTATATTGTTTGCATGAACTTGATCACTTCCTAGTAAAAGCCAGCGGATATAGACTGAAAGTAGAGCAGATGCAATGCCAGAGATGTGAGCCTCGCACCCATCTGAAAAATAAAACAATGTTGGTCAGTCAGTARTAAAGTTGATAACTGCAATATTTTGTGAAATGTATAAGTTACTGATCAAGTTTACAAACCTGCTAGCATTTTCTTTGTGCGCTTTGGTCTCGCAAATKTTTKGGGGTTTGCTGTGTCACTAATAAGGAAAACAACAATCTGTATTGMGAATGAAGTTTTAAATTTATTGTGGGGCTAGGCAAGCAGTTTRAAAACTGCTCACAAATTGCCTGGAATATTGTTTATTATCAACTCAAACAATAGCCTAATTGTACAAATATTATATTTTAAACAAAAGAAGTTCGTTAATGAAAAGCCTTTTTAAGGAGTGCCAATAAAGTTGTATTGTATTGTAAATCAGGCAAGTCTCTTGGTGATGTACTGATTCTGGGTTAGCCCAATAATTGTCCTTTTTTGTCTTTTGTTATCATATAAAATATTTTAGTAGCTTTGACAGCATTTTGTAACAACTTACGTAAAGATTCTCTTTGGGTTTTGTTTTGGGTCACCATAGCAACCTGATGGAAATTGATTCTTTAAAAGTTGCAAGAGTCTAGTTTTAGACAAAAAGTCTTCATATCCAATCAAACCRCCACAAACGAGTGCTTGTTCAAAGTACAGGTCTAACTGAATGAAGCCCTTGTTGTTTTTCTCAAGKACYATCATTTGTGGGTACATCAACGAGCAGATGACCTCATACAAGTGGTCGAATCCCCCTTTTATACTTGATTGTTGCAGTTTCACAGAAACGATGGACGAGCACCCTACGAGAAAAGCACAAACTTGTTTTCGTTGATAGATAAGAAAGGAAAATGGTAATRAAATAATAGTAGGGTAAAAAAATAACAGCTTTTTTGATTAAAAACTTTTTTTTTAATCGAAAACAAAGCGCCCCTGTGGTGATGGAATAAAAGACGCGAGTAACGAGTTACAAAGTGCGGCGGTGATGATAAGCAAAAATTTCAACAATACGTTGTCTATGAATTACTTCCTACCCCCAAACATTTGTAACTCGATAACGCACAGCAGCAATCGGATGAGCGCGCAAAGCCGGCGCATACATGATACTATAACTTTCATCTTTTTATTCTCTTATTTCAAGCACATGGTAAGGCTATGACGTTAATGAAAATGAGAGAGGCTCAAATGAGCAATGGAAAGAAATTTAACACCTGGTTACACAGTCAACCTCAAGGGTAGTCGTTGAGAGGCGGGGAAATCGGGAGGTGCCGAAAAGGAGTGAGCTAGTCGAAAACCAATACACCATACCTTTAATCTGCTGCGCAAACATAAAATACAACGCTTGGTGCGTTAATGAGTATCCAATCTTATCCATTCTTAACATAATGCGCCAACACACTTTTGTAACGTTACATGGTTCACTGTTACCACTGCCAAATATGGCCTCCATACATGGCTGATAGGCATWGCCGTTCTTCGTCAAGACATCTTCCTCGTTGACATCAATTGATCTATTCATAAGTCTTCTGAACGGCCTGACTAACTTCCATTGGTTCTTCACGCTAAAGCTGACTTGATTATAGTACTTGATGTTAGAGGATTTTAGATAAGGGAGTGATTTTTCAATAATTGCTGAAGCTTTAGCTTTCAAAGCAATTATTCGTGTTAAGACGGGTTTTAGTTGATCAAACGCACTCAAAGTGGTCTCCAAAACACCTGCAAATATGACGTTAAGAAGGAGGTTACTGCTAACTAAATTAAGAYTTGTTTTCCTTAAAATCAGTAACTTTACACCTTTATAGGAAGCTGTTAATGGTAAAGTACCATAGCAACGCACCTCAATCTGAAAATAGGCAACTCTTCATTTCTCGATGTCATCTATTTTTTTAAATTGGTTCTTTTCAGAATTTGATATCTTAATGAAGATGTAACGTCAGGTCATTCTGATCGCATAATCCATGTGGTATTCATAGGTATTACTTTTTGTCATTAAGGAATTGTTAGAAAAAATCCACTCAAAATATCAACGGACTCTGTACTTAATACTCTCGACATATAGTGTAAGTGCTTTTAGATGGAGTTTAGTTAAGGACATACAATCGATCATTGTTTTACAAATACAATTTTTTCACATTAGATGTATTGTGTMGCTATGGGTTTATACTATGAACATTTTCAATGTTGAATTTTCACATGCGCCGACTAGTTAATACTTACATTCATGTAAAATATGGCATAAGTCAAGAAYAATTAAGCATCTTTTAAATGCCGAATCCTCAAACATTCCCGAATGATGTTAAAGCAAAGAAAATGAAAAGCGCAATTTATTTCGCAGGGAAATGCAACCATCATCAAGATTTTATAAGTAGATTTGCAGCGTCGTCTCCAGTTTTTCAGATTATTTAACCACTATCCGTTTGTATTTCAGTGTACAGAAAACAAGTTATCAATATAGTAATGTAATGTAAGAAGAATAAATAACTGTTCAGAGGAAAAAGTCACGAGCCATTTACAATTGACTGGTTTCTCCCACTATAAAGATGTCATTTCTTTTAGTTTCAATTCTGTATTTCCGTCTCTTCGTTTTCTTTCAATCTMATTAGACTTTGTACTATATTATATACTCCACTAAATGCATGTTCCCGTAGAGCTGATGACTAAAGCATGCATGCCTAGGATGACAACTTACCTTGCGAAACTCGAAGACCAAATATGGCGTCCATATTCATCTCTTTAACATTTTCTTCAAAAAAATCCAAACTCATGTCAAAGGCTTTAAGGACATTTGACAACAATTTCTGTTTCTCACTTGGAGTTGTGTCATTAGGAAATACTATTTGGTACATTATGCATTGAAATATCAAAACTGTAAGGATGTGRCTAAGAGACATGGTTGACAATGTACGTGGGGTCAGTGACTATATGATATGAAGCTGATTATCAGGAATCTGAGGTAGAGATTATAAAGTGCAATACGACTCTATACAKCTGGTCAATTTGTACAGCATCCTGTACTCCCTTGACGGAACTGAGAATCAGCGGGCGTTTTAATGGAGGAGTATATTACACTTTTTTAAGGTTCAGCAATCATGTTGAAACTACTACAATACAGCTCACCTTACGGACCCCGCTATTACGAACAACTCGATATTGCGGACAGGAAATATTGAATTCCCGGCGAAAAATACAACAAAAGTGACTAGTCCAGCTATACTGCGGACACTAAGTTACGGTCTCAAAGGGTGTCCGCGTTAATAGCGAGAGTTGACTGTAACTGCAATTCAAAAAAAAGTCAAGAACAAGAGCCCTCTACAATCAGTAGTCTTTATTCTGGAKGACTTTCTTGGTGCTATCGCGTTCTGTGTCCCGGGGATCAAAAACCAAACTTAAATGGCAGCGCCGATTTCATTRGACTGTGAAGCAGCTACTAATATTAATATTATTATATATTAAAAAATTCCTTACTTGTACTTAGAGTCTAMGTCAAGAATTAGATTAGCAGCTATTTCACAGTCCATGAAAACCAGTCTAACATTTTATCGGCAATGACAGTCACTTGTCAGTGAACAACGTCTCTTCAATGGGTAACAGAGGCGCCTTAAMATGACAGCAATATGWGTCAGATTATATGTGATGACTGAAAATAAAAGGAATCGAATGGGAGAAATGAGTGGATGGTTAAGATAGCATACGTCACACCACTAATTCAGAACTAGAGGTAAGAACAATAAAAAGAGAACAGAGAGACCACCTCGCTACTAGATGTTGTGTCTAGTCAGTTGACAAACGAATTTTAGTTGTAGGTGTAAAAACCAAAGATATAAGTWCCTCAGACATCACCACAAACAMCCACACGRKTKTTATGACTAAAGCCKCTCAATTAACGGGTTATGAAAGGAGTATTTGGATTGAATGTGTATTACGGTAATTTGGAAACATACAGAAGCTTGTAAAGAGTGCATGTATAATAGTCTCGATTATGTTTTAACAGTAAAAAAAACCCTGAAAATAACTTAGGAACATCACCGATACCACGGGTTTTCTGCCCCCTCSCCTGTATCATTCGCTAACAAACTTTCCCCTTTTCATCAACTTTATTACCTTTATCACAACTTTCTGAGTACTAAGAATTATAAGGTTAGTCCACAAATGATTATCAAATCATCTAATWTAGTCATTTGATACAATAAAATCTCAAATGTTCCTTTTCTGAACAGCTTCTCTGTCCCAAATCCTAGATTCGGTTTTTCTGCAAAATCCTGCTAGAATCCTTAAAAAATCACTTGACTGCTTAATAATGAATTGATGGCAAAATATCCACAAAAGAACAAATCCTACAAGAACAACGTATGCTGGTGTTGTAGTCATTTTGTGATATTCATGCTGTTTGTGTATAGCAACAAGTGGTTCATTCTGCATCACTTTTCTCTGTACCATATGGTGTGTTTGTTCGTGTAAATCCTTRGTCATTTTCTTGGTAGTCTGAAATTTTTTTGATGGATACATTAAATGTACTGCCCATCTGAGATACACACCAAGAAGTCCAGTCGCAACACCAGTGATATGAGACATGCACCCCCCTGATTCAAGAAATACATAAATATATATAAATCATCTATCCAAGAATTTGCTGTATAGACAAAGACAGCAGAAGTWAATTTATATTAATCCACTAACCACTAAGTGCTTTCTCCACAAGTAGTGACCTCATTGTTCTCATGCCCATTAGTTTCCTAACATCAAAAACATGGAAAACATTAGTAAATAGATGAATAGGCCTTTACATGAAATGGGAACCTGGTACTAAATCCTGGATGACAAAATACCCACTAGGTTGTTCWAGGTTGTTCAYTTTTGAGATTGTTTACATTCTTTAGCCATCCAGTATATATGGTGGATTTACATTTATTCTACCGTTTAATGCAAAAGGCCTATTGTGAAAAATATTTGAAAAAATTCCAGATGCATTTAGCAGGCTTCAAATAACTAAAGATAAGATAATGACGACARCCATACCTTGAATTTGYGCCATATTTGAAATCATACCCCTTCATAGCATCATATTGTGTCTCTTCCAAATCAGTCTTTTGATTAGCTTTAGGAAGTGTCCTCCTTGATAAATCATCWTCCTCTGATCCACCAAAACAACCATTTTTTCTTTGCCACTGTAATATCATGTTGAGTCTTTTGAGAGATAGGAATTCATAATAGCCCATACTTCCACAAACCATGGCCTGCTCCATATACAAATCTCTTTCATATTGTGGKGCATTTTTTCTACGTGACTTTTCAAACTCCACCATTTGAGGATACATACTTGCACATATTCTATCGTACACTTGTTGCAGACTTATCACACCTTTTTCTGTTTGTAATTTGTCTAGCATTGCTTTCTTACATCCTTGAAATATAACATGACTTCAGAATTAATTATATATTCCTTATAATTGTGAAAGCACCCTTCTGGACCCCTGGGAACATGAAACGAGTTAGAGCGGATTTCGTATGAGTGGGACACCGTTACCGCACGGTTACCGCACAGTTACCGCACCTGGCCTGCACAATTTTGGTGAACCAATGCGGCACTAGAATTTGGTTACAGTACGATTACGGTCACAGTACAGTACCGTCCGTTTCCCACTCATACGAAATCCGCTCTATTGCAAGAATATGAAGTGTAAGGGAGTGTTTATCTCACTTCTTAAATGCTACCTTCAATTTCCAGAGTGCTACATAACCTGTTTTGTCATTGAATAGTTTGAATTTCCATCTTTTTTTTAACAAGATAATGTCACTACTGTGCTCCATACAAGAATACTGATAGAACACAGCACAACACCTTAAATATATCTCAAATATATGCTTTCATGACTTGTTATACTAWAATAAGTAGAATCTTACATGGTTTCTTGGAGATACAAATTTCACCTTTACACTACAYCCACTTGTGAGTTATTGTATCTCTGTAAACCCACGTAATATCCTTCATATCTATAGAGTAATTCATTACCTTGAACTTCTCCAATCAACAGGAACAAAGCCTGATGGGTAAGTGCATACCCATGAGCACCMTTGGCCATCATCAAATCCCAGCAGTGACTTGATAACTGACATGGTTGTTGGATATGTTCACCAGTTCCAGTCATTTCTGTCATACATTGATCACTTGTATCCTCATCAAAACTTATCTGACTTCTCTTGTTTACAGGGACATAAAATGAGTAATCAAGCCTTTTAAAAGGTTTAAAGTTTTCCCATGGTTTGGTTACAGCTGTTGCAAACTTTTTGTAGTAAATAGGGTTGGACTGCTTGAGATGAGGTAAAGATCTATTGGCTGTCTTTGAAGCTTTTTTCTCAAGTTCAAATATTCTTGCTATTAGAGATCTGCTGAGGTTTAATCTCCCTGAGTTTTGTTCATTTAGAATCTTGAGAAGAGCACCTGTGATATATTAAAAAACCTTTTATTGATAAATTTGTATACTATAGAACATTATACAGTAATGAAGACTCCAAGAAGAATTCAATGTGGATAAAAAAAAAACTCAAAGAGAATGGTTGTATTGACTCCAAGTATCATAACAGTGACAAAAAAAAATAAGTAATGTAAGCATTTTTATTCTGGTAAAGTCAGATCATCAAAGGCTGCATGTTCTCCTTTTAATATAAACAACATATTGAAAAWTATATACCTTCTTGCGAAAACGTTGCCATAAAAAATAGGACATTTGTATTTAGTAAAAAGGAATAAATTAAAGACAAAGGAAGATCACTGAGTCTGAACGCTTTCTTTTGTCTTGTTTTAATTTATTACTTTTTACTAAATTCAAATGTTCTATTTTCTATGACAACGTTTCTGCAAGTAGTTGTATCTATCTTGATATTCCACAGCTGAGTAATGGTCATGAATACAAGTGAGGTCCAATACATGAATAAAATGTTTACATAATGACACTTGACCACTTTATTGATCAGGTTATCTATTATAATGAGGATGTCAGCTTTGTTAACAATGATAAACAATATATATATTGTTTATATTTATCAATATAACAATGGTAAAAATGTAATTTTATAAAAATGTAAGTTGTGTTTTTTAATCCATAATCACTAACATATACAAAGAGTGATAACATACATGTAATGTGACGTGAAAACCTTTTTCATTGCATCTCTGGACAAATTGAAGGATGTACTTCATCTAGTGGGCGAGTAAATTTATTTTTAGTTCTCAATACATTTCTTTGTATTTTTCACGCGCGTCACGCGCTGATAGCCTCGGAAATTACAAAGAAATGTCTGGAGAACTAAAAATAAGTTTACTCGCTCCATAGATCAAGTACGCCCTTCAAAATTGGCCAGTTAACTTCTTTTTGCAGTATCTAACGTTTGCAACTGATACCTTTTTCCAAATTTGAATTCAGCGGAAAATATTTTTGTTATTTTGCGACACTTTGCCTGCAACTCCTCAGCAGGGGTGCCAAAACCGTCGCCTCAACTGTTCAACTTCTGATTTACCATAAGTATTGGTTTGAATTTAACTAGCTATTATATTTGACTGATTAATTCATATATTCATATAAGCTTAAATTCTAGAATACCTTTGTATAAAATGATTATCACCTTACCTTCAGAAACTCGAAGACCATAAATTCCATCCAAATTCACATCTTTGTATTCCGATTCAAAAAAGTCATAGACCTTCTCCAGAGCGTTCAAAAGTCGAYTCAGCACGTCTTTGTTAACGTTTAAAGATTTAGAACCGTTAGAGTCACCAGCCCATAGTAAAATCAGGAATACGGACCAAACAAAACGCATCATCTGTTCTAAACGCCTTTTGTGTTGTAACCAAGACTTTGAATTCCTCCTGATTCACTTGAAGATGGCCCACAAATGCATTTGAAACAACATACTCCAAGATGTTGTCATTTTAGAAATCATGATAAAAGAAAACGTCAAAGGATTCTTTCTGTCAAAATGTGTTACCCTTAGTGACGCTCAAATTCCAAATCTTGAAAATTACACGGGCAAAAGTTTCAAAGAACACCTGTTGAATGCTTGAACGACGGCTCTTCARAAATCCAACATTTATAATTAAAATCAGTCTCAAGACTCTTAAAAAACAGTAACCGTGAATATTTTCAAGCGCGTTACGTCGAGCTTCAGTGCCTGTAACGATTTCAGTTAYTCACTGTAAGTTAGGGACTGGTACCTAGTAATTTTACGAAACAGGAAACCCGTCCAAAGGGACTTTCATAGGTATTCCTTTGGGCATATAGATAAGACAACTACGGGAAVGTTTATCATTTTTTGAATATTTTGGCCTTCATCCAAAGGCTATCGACTGCAAACGGAACTCATACATGAATATAATTTAATAATTAGTTCATTAGCCTCAAGGGGATGTACTGTCCTTTTTCATTGCAGGCTTTTGGCTATTCTCCTTTGTCTGAAATTTTTAGACTTTGAAGCTAACTTATGACAACATTTTCTAATTGTATAGTTTCATGGCCTGATTCTAACGCTGTGTCTATTAAAGTATTGCAGTCTATCCGCCACTTCCCATGGTATGAGTTTAGTTTGCAGGCGATGGCCTTTGGATAACTATTTTGTTATATGTATATTTCATTCAGTTTTTTGTCAAACTAGAATGGTAATACTTATTGTAAATATATTCAGTTCTTTATTTTGGTAAATAATATTCTAATCTATTATATACTTTTTTTTATTGCACCCTACAAGAATAGTTCTAACTAATTGGGGATGGCAATATATTCTTTATATTTATCAATATAAAAATGGTAAAAATATAATTTTATTAAAATGTAAATAAACTATTATGTTGTGTTTTTTATCCATAATCACTAACATTACATACAAAAAGTGATAACATACATGTAAGATCATTTAATGTGACGTGAAAACCTTTTTCATTGCATCTCTCCCTCCCCCCCTCTCTTCTCTCCTCTCTCCCTCTTCTGCCTCCCTCCCCTCTTCCCCCCAGGCACAGATGCAAGTTCATTAATCTCATACCTAGAGCCTTCGTTTTTTGCAGGCCAAGAAAACGAAGGGTGAGGATATGAGATTGCAAGTTAATGTGTTTTTTTTCAGCTACTTCAGAAAAGGTTGGAAACTGAAGATAGTGTCTTCCAAGACTTCAATGCATTGTTGGAAATTCTCTTGCCATTGTTAAGGAGTTTTTGTGGTTTCAGAGATACTATAACAGCTCTGTGCAATCAAGAAGTTAGCTTATAACTAGTTATTTTAAAAGCATCTTTACCACTTTMTATATACAAATAGTGACTCATTTTCCTCTCACAGTTCTCTTTCAAAGAGTTTCTTTTAGTGAAAATTATTCAAATACATGGACAAACATTTCTTATTAATTTTTTCCTATGCAAACGAAAACCAAATTTCCTAGAAAATAACATAAAAATAATGATGACTGCAGCTATCAATAAAAATGCAATCTTTGAATTATCGCTATGGTGACTGTGATGATGCTGTACAGCGTCTTGCCTTGTATTAGATAGTCTGAAGGAGAGGTGAAGAAGCCAACGAAGATACAAGGCCAAAAGACCAGTTCCTACTCCTGTAGCATGCACTTCACAACCACCTAAGTACAAGAAAATGACAAAAATATGGAAGTAATTCCTTGCYCTCTCATATACAGGTTGATAATAGCTTCTAAAGTAGAAGGAAAGAATACAGAGGACAAACATGGTATATAGCTCTATTGTACTGACCTTCAAGATCTCTTGTAACAGTCAGCTTTCTCATAGTTGTCATGCCTTCTTTATCACCATAGCTGTTTTTATTCAAAATAACTCTGAGAATTTGCTTTATACAAGACTATGGATTGTCATATCATATCGTGATAATTGTTGCAAGAAATATACAGACAAGCAAGAAAATCCTACCTATCTTCATCATCTTCCTTCCCTCCAATCTCATCAGTAAAGCCGAAACARCCATCTTTGTGTCTCCAACCTAGAATATAGTTAAGTCTTTCTAARCTGAAAAAGTCTGTATAACCAATCATCCCACATATAACRCMTTGCTCCATATACAAGTCGATTTCACCAAGACGTTTTTTCTTGATTGCAATCTTTTCTTGATCTATCATCTCGGGGTACATAGCATGGCAACTTGTTGCAAAAAACCTTTCTATTCCTCCATCATACCCATCTGCTTTAAACCTTGAATCAAAAACTTTTGAGCAACCTATGTGAGAAAATTACTGACATCAACATGACACTGAAATTTTAGATAGAAAGGTGGATTTAACCAAGGAAGCCATCAAAACAAGCACTGTACCTTTTACTTGCCCCAGCATGAAGAACAGYAGTTGATGAGTAAGTGTATAGGATTTTTGATTAGGTTTTGTATTGACCTTCCAGCAAATATYAGATATAGAACATGGTTTTATGCCCTTCTTGGTATCACCAACAAGAGCATTAAAGCACCTGTCCTGCTTGTCTTCCTCCATTTCATATCCATCGTCATCATCTGAAGCTGATGTTGGATTATCAGAGCGGTGAAGATTTAACTTTTTAAAAGGTTGAATATTTTTCCAGGGTTCCATGACAGTAAATCCCATCATTTCAAAGTAATTCTCATCAAATTTCTTTAGGTAAGGATATGTTTTTCTTGCAATGTTTGAAGCAACAACAGCTAGTTTTAAGATTCTTTTTTGTTTTTCAATTGGAATATGGATCTGTCCAATTTTATTTTCCTGTAGAATTACATTCACCGCACCTAGTTAAGAACAGGAAAAACCATCAAGTTTATTCCTAAAACACAAGCAGTAGCATCAACAATAGGGTTTTTGCATTGRCAAAGCAACAAAACAAAATACTTCTGCTTTCTTGGTGGTTATAGAACCTTGTACTATTATGTAACAGTAATTCTAAAACATTTTTGTAAAATGTTTTTAGTTCAACCATCTTGTAATGTGACTTATAGCTTATGACTTATATATGTGATTCTTTGTATGTTACTCTATCAGTTACTTATTAAAGCTCTGGATRAATCAAAATATCAAACTTCTAAAGTAATTCTTTGTTTTCAAAATATTCTTTGTTGTTTTATACCTGCTCTAGCTCTGGTGCTATCAAGAATTTTGGACAGGTTGCTTTCCTGTTGAATTTGAATATTCATCATCTTTCATTGCTATAAAATTCTTAGCTGGGAGAATCCAGTAAATCGTAGGACACCCTAGTTTAGCCAAATAAGTGCTAAGTAAAATTAATCATATCAAATAGTGCGTTTTTCTTGGAGAACTGCACCCATACCGAACGCCATCGGTGTAATAGGGCAAAATATTTATAGTAAGCTTTATAAATAAGCTAATCAAATTAAGTTAACTTAACTTAGTTAGCAATTACTTTATTGACCATAATTTTAATACCTTGTAGCATCCTCAGTCCATACACGCCGTCTATAATTAAATTCTTGTATTGCCGTTTATAAAACACAAGAAGCTTCTCAAGAGCTTTAAGAACCCTTTCTAAAGACTGTACTACAAGAGACACTGGATATTCCTCTGGTTGACCATGCACAACCTCTCTACAATCAATTAGGGTCGTACTTGATATTATAGCTAGAAAAGTCATTACACCCAATTTAAGAATCATGGTAGCAACAGAAATCTTTGTTGGCTGAAGTGCGTACAAACGCAGAAAAGCAGGAAAGGAATAATTTCATTATCAGCTGAAAGTTTTGCAAAAGAACAGCCAGTCCAACTTTGACACGACTCTAGTAACAAATCTACCCTTTCTAGGGGAGGTATGAAAGTGTAATTGTTTTTTCTCCCATGAAACACAAAGAAATAAACCTACCTGTGAAGAGGCTCTCCTTTATCTTAGCTAGACGTCTTTTCCAAAAGAACGTTAATTTTGARTACTGAATACACTTGGAAACAATCAAAATACTATCAAAATATATATTACATTTGTGACCAGGCTGTTTGTGACATTTTGAGCTGGTGGGAGGGGAGAGTAGTGACGGTAAATTAACAAATTATATCCCAAGATGCTTTGCAGATATGAAATTTCAAAATGGCGGAAGAAGTGGCGTCTGAAAGTGGAGAACTACACTCAAAATCGGCTAGTGAAGAGCCACAGATGATTGYCTCTAATCAAAATATTACTGAAGAAGGAAAGCATCCTGAGTGTACTGTAGCTGATACTGGAACAAGACACCGAATGATTTCAGAGTCTAGTTTGAATGAAGATAGCAATGCAGAACTTCAAGAAACATGCAGAGAAGCGTTTAACAAAATAACCGAGTATCTGAATGGAGAACTAACTGGTGTGTATTATACTATGTTTTAGTCTAGTGGACAATATAGTCAGCTGAAAACATTTCTCTCTCAATTTCAGCTTCCCTTGATGATTATGAACTTCTTGAAAAACTCAACAATCTTTCAACGTCAAAATATGAAGAAATGTCTAAAATGGCAAAGACATTAATTGCATCGATGGAAGAACTGGACGATAAATGTAAGCTCTCATAGTGGATATTATTGTAGYTGCCAWTAATTAATTGGCTAGAGTATAGAATACCCGTCCACTGAATACCTCCCTCTCGTGTGCTGTAACCGCAAGATCGATACTAGATCTGTCGCATTTGTACCCAAGGTCACCAGTCAGGAGTGTGCACCACAGGAACCCCATTACCCATCCACTTATAAAGTCTCTACCACTCAATAATTACATGTCAATAATTACATGCAACTAGGACTAGCAACYGTGGGTATACCAACCAAGGTTAAGCTCAACAGTGGACGGGTATTCTATACCTGCTCCGACGTAGGGGAGAGCCCACTTGCAAGTAGTTACTGGTAGTTTTCATKTATTATCTGCTCAAAAACTATTCATGATTCTGCTTTGGTTGTGCTGATTTCTCAGAAATTGACTTATTAATGTTAAAAATAAGTGGTGCTGTTTTTAAGAATTAAAATGTTTTTGTCTCTATTTCAGATAAGAATTTGCAACCATATTTAGAACAAATTGACAAAGTAGAGGACAGTGTTGCTAGCCTAGAACAAGCAGCATATCGACTAGATGCCTATTCCAAGAAATTAGGTAAGTACATTGCCTGGGGGCGGAGAGAAGTGTAGGACCCAGGCCCCGTCTGAAAATCAGGCTAGTAAGTACATTGATTGTAATTATCACTGAATCCATTAGAACCACTTCATTACACCTTGTACTCATGCTGATTGTCATTGAATTGGTCTGAAACCAAATTTATAATCAAATTGAAATCRAATTTTTTRATTTTCAGAAACCAGATTTAAAAGGCTTGAGAAAAGATAGTGTGAGGTTAGTTTACTTTAACTGCAGAATAWTACTTGAAAACACACCAAATTCTGTAAATAAACAACCTTGTACATGATTATGAACAGTTACCATGGTGATGTATAGTTGTCTTTGAGAACCTGGTATCTTTTATGACCRAAAAGCCTGGGTACTATTGATGCTGGGTAATAAATAGAATGAAAGATGTATTCAGCAATGAAAACAATCAACTGATATCGAAAGAATAGGATGTTATAGAATGATATATCATAACAGATATCAAATCAAGAAATCAACATGGACAAAATTTTTAAATCATCATTTTACTCAGAAGACTCAAAAAGTATTAACTGATTTGTTGATTGTTTCATTTGATGTTGTTTACTGTTTTAATCATTAACGATATGCACAGAAAGAGAAATCTAACACAGTTATAATGTTTTATTGTAATTACTGTTAATTSATGGTGTGAAAGTGCACTTTCTTATCAAAATATCATGTACAACTGTACTCAAAAGTAGATGCTCATCTCTTTTAACAGTTTATGAAACAATACTTTAAATGAATTGGAAAATAGAATTTCAGTATCTTGYGGTCTTCTTTCTAGTTATGTGCTTTTGTTGGCAATAGTTAACAATTTTTTCACAAAAGTCTTGACTTGCTTGTTGCGATCTTTTGAACTGCAAATAAATAGTAATRATTAATGAAAGATTCAATATATGTGTCTAATGTAGTTTCTACAGGGGTTACCTATTCATTATGTATTTAGAAATTAGTCAAATATTATAATTATTGTAATTTATTAATACAACACTTTATGGGACAGTTTACATAACATGAGGGATATTTTCTTAATAATTTTTTATTTCCTTTGTTGGTTAGTTGGGTATGATTATGGTAGTCAAAGTACACTGTTAGTTGTAGTATATGGTGCCATTGTGCAATTGTCCTGTGTTACTAACTCATACCAAASTTATGATTGTTAGATTCTATAAAATCTTTGAATCTAAAATATACAGATTGAATCCATAAGGAGGTCTTGTTTAAATGTTCTAAAAGATCTTGAAGGAATTCTAGGCTTTTCTTTTGTTAGTCCCTCATTTAATGACGTCCTTCATCGCATGATAGTGTCCAGACAATTAGAAAAAGAATAAATCTCCCTTTTAGATAAAGCACTTCAAAAATATTAACAAGGAAACTATTACTTTGTTTTTAATATGAAACCTTATCAAGACAACGAGGCGCCATGCTAACAAACTCTAGAAGATCAATCGTTTATGATGGGAAATTGATTCATTAAAAATGTTGTACTTCCAATCAGATCAAACTGATATTTTTGTGTTTTTTTTGTTCATCCACGTTTTATGGAAATTCTTAAAATAGAGTGACTTACACCCGCACTCAAAATTAACTCGATATAAAACACATCGCTCTCACTCCATCGGTTTTTTCTAGTATACTGTGGACTGGTTTATTTTTTTWA